AATGGTAAAATAAGGGAAAGGTGTGGGGGTGAAAGTTTGTATGGGGCTATCGATTTTTAAAATGTAGAAACTTGAAAATTGAAATTGTAGGTACTCATCATAAATAGATATTTTTCAAGATATTTAGATTTTTACATATTAAGGAGGGAAACGGGAGGTGAAAATTTAACTATGACTTTCGGTTTTTTAAAGTAGGACCTTAAAAATTGGAATTGTAGCCACTCATCAAGTAAAAATAAATAAAAATAAATTAAAATAAATAAAAATAAATAAAAAAATTCCAGCGAAACGGGATCGGGTCAGCTAGTCTTTAATATTTATTGATATTTTCATTATGCATTTTAATATTTTTTATACAGACATGTCATTCCGTTCCTAATACTAAATATGTATTAACAATTTACAACTTTATTTAATGATGGAACAAACAAAACTAAAGATCCCACAGGAAGATCAAACCTTCAGCATGCCTTTGCATCAAAAAAAAGTTTTCATTATGAAGTTCCTCTTGAACCCTTGAATATCTTTCTTTCCAAAGTGCCTGTTCGAAACGTCGATCGAGCACTCAATGGAAGCGTAACCGCGACGAAATTACTTTCATCACTTTCAAACCCAAGCGAAGCAAAAAGACAATGGCGTTTCCTTTACACTCTACACGACACACACACGAACACGGTGTAATTGCTTTTTGGATGTTTTGATGCATTTATTTACTTTCTAAAAAAGAATCCGAGCGAACGTTAACATGTTCTGCATTTAACCTAGTCTATTTATGTTAGCGAACAAAGGGTTGTTCGGAAATAGACTTTCGTTTGACATTCGAAACTGCACCAAGCCATCGCGGTTGAAGGCACACACGGCCTGAAGAATACGGCTTATTCCTGGAACATCGGAATTAGTATGGCGCCAGCAGGGTTGATGTTAACTTAAAATGATGTATCTTTTTGCACGATGTGTTTCCACAAAAAAAAAATGGCTAAAATTGATCAGGGTACGAGTAAAAATCCACTAGTTTCAATAGTTTATCTACGGGAAAAAATAACGTGCAATCGTGCAAAAATACATTGGATAAATTTCTACATATATTTATTATTATCATTTACCACAAAATTCAAACAAAACATCTTAATTTGCAGGTTCAGTTTAATTTACTAGAAGTTAAAATATAATTGAACGAATCGTAGTTTTCTCCATTATCTTGGCCCTCATCATAATTAGGATTAAAGCCTTAGACTAGAAATGTATTTTATCTTGAATATAAATACTGTGGCTAAATAATATTTTCTGAATTTTTCTTAACAACCATTTTACTTGATCTATTAGTAAAATTGGAATTTGAAGAATATTTCGTCGGTCTAAAGCACACTTATCGTATATCCAAAAACCCTTTTTTTGACAATGGCAAATTTAAACTTGAGGTGCGTCCACGTTCTCTTGAGTGGAATTATGCTTCAAATTTGTGTTGGGATTGAACAATATGGCGTACTTGTTATATTTATTAATTCTAAGGGGTTTGTGGATACTGATTGAGCATTTTTTTAATAGTTTGAAAAAAGTGACCGGAGATACAATATGTGTACCCTACATTTCAAAGAACAATCATCATATCTCCTTATTGAAACCTGCTAAACTATATGCGATTTTATGAAGACGTACAGTAAAATAAGCTAATGATATTGTTACAACTTGCGTAAGATAATAATTATCTAGATATTTAATATTATTTTTTAAGAATAAAAATCAAAATTCAACCGAATGTATGTATTGATTCATTTTTAATATAATGTATAAATTTAAATAAAACAATGGGTAAATTTTCTATGAGTAGTTTTTACTAATTTAATAATAGGTACAGTTTTTGAAGTAGTTGTTAACAAGTTAGGTAACCATGTGGGAACTTATAAGCTGCTCTTATGTGTAAACTATTTCTGACAGTTACAAATATTATATGGTGCTTACAACAAATGTGCTCTAGAACGTGTAATTAAATGCCTTAATTCTCAGTTTTAAATTTGAATTTATTGTAGTTTGGTGGGTGTTGGTGCTACAATGTTTGTGCCCAATAAAGAAGGCTAAAATACGATTTTATTGGTACCAAGATCGTCATAATATTAAATTTGGAGTTACAATATGTGTGCTTTAGATCGACGATTGGTTATTAGATCTTATATACGCACACATCACTATTTAGTAGTTTTTGTACTGAAAAAATCACCATTCACAATTTTGACATATAAAGTGACATTTTAAGAGTGTCATCTTCATTTTGCCATTCTTGGTATCGAAACGGAGTGGTTAAACCAAGATATTCTCTTTATGTCTTTCTCAAATATTACAATTAAGAGTGTCATCTTTATTTCGCTTGATGCGTCGGTTAATGTATTGTATAGTGTGACCTGATCCTTGATATTTCTTTCACTCTGCAAATTCTACAATTCTTGATTTATTTAATTGGTTTTATTTTTCTAAATTTAATTTAATAATATTGTCTGCTTGAGCACTATATTAACTATTTAGATTATATAAATTAAAACTTTTAGGAATTAGTTTATTGTAACATGAATTTCCTATTTTTGAGTTTATAAATTGTTTGGTTTTGTTATATTTTATATTTGTAAGATACATACTCGTTTCTAATTGACATTTGACAATCTAGACGGTACTTTCCGGTTTTGTTAACATGGTGCATTTATCTGTTTTTTATTATTTCAAGTTCAATAGCCACAATAATTTGTACACTTATGTCTTAGAATAGAAGGTTAAATAGTGGTTAAATTGTTCTCAAAATGACTCTCAATTAAGAGTATTGTCCTTTCAAACATTTTTTATTCAGTGGTTCAATCATTCAACCTTCTATTCGCTTGTGACCAAACTATTGGGGGTTCACAAGGTTCACGCAGTACAGATGTAGGTAAACATTTTTCAATGTTTTAGGTATTACAATACTCATGTATCGTCATTAACTGTATAGTATAAAGTTTTCGAAATTATACTGGAAACTTTTGTAATAATCGTTACGAAACTGTAAGATTTTTAATTAAAACAGTTAGCCGATATGCTTGATGTTGTGGCTGAATTCGAAACTTACCAAATGCCAATTCGGCTCCAGACTATATTCTTAGAATCAACGAAATTATGCACATGGGAGTTCACAGAACGCTTCCAAGGATGAAATAATCTATTTATCACTCCTGTTTCGCCTTTATTCCCATTGGATTTAATGAAATTTCTACTATTTAAAGTTTCGTAAAAGGACAAATTCATTACATTTTAATTTATAATTGTTTTAATCAAGTTTTCAATTGTACGCCAAATAAATTGTTTGAATGTTCGTGGAACTTGTATCATTTAGAAATGTGATGTATTTTTTAATTCTTACATGTATTTTGATCCGAAAAGGATAAATTTGCCATTGAACATATAATTTCTTTATCACTTGACGCTGCTTTGACTAATGGAGTTGACTGAATTTTAAGGATAATACCACAGTGTTGTATTAGGCTTGTTCGGGTTTTTCAAAAATACGTTGAGAACTCTCAGAGGACTAGTTAACCAGTGAACAATTTAAAAGTTTTACGAATAATTTGCTATTCAGCTCTTCAACTGGATCTCGAACGCTCTGCATCAAATTTTAAAGAAACCCTAACAAACCTATTATTGCTGTGGTATATGAATTAGCATGACTAACAATCTTCTTCCGATACAAATCATTATCTGTAAGTTATAATCGTTGTCATACTCATCGTATTCTTTTTATAAATATTCTTGAAATTCCAACTCATGGTAGTCCCAATCTTTGGAAAATCCAACTTCTACTTCGTACTTGTTGCATTTTCGTCGTTGGTAATTGACACTCGTAACTTTTAAAAAAATTGTCGATAATAATCGTACCGAGGGGGTGGGTGGCTCAGTGGTAGAGTCTCTGCCTGTGGATCCAATGGTCGCAGGCTCGAATCCTACCGTTGGCCGGGATTTTTTCATTTAATTTAATTATTTAAAATTAATTCTGATGCCTTGGTAAGATTCCCCACTCGACCATTCACTGTTGGGTTCTAATTAACAGTGCTGTTCCTAAAGTGGCGCTGGGAAACAGTAACAAAGCCTACACAGAACACGAGGCGAAATAACCTTAGCAGAAGCCGATGACACCACAAAAAAAACGTACCATTACTTTTGAAAATAAATCGCTATATCTGCGAAAACCTGTTATTTCCAGCAACTTAAAAAATCCCCACGTTGTCGTTGGGTTCCAAATTTCAATGGAAATTATTTACTTTTCATTCGTTTTTTCTTTTTGAATCAAAAATTTTTAGAATCTTGTAAATCATTGAATATATTTTTGTCATGACAAAATAGATAAAATGGATATTTCTTTAAATACATCCTGCATTTCATCGAAACAGATATCTAGGCAATTAGAAATGCAAAATTCGTTTTCCTATCGACCTTGATATTAAACTGAAAATCGCGTGTTTCTTGACCATTACGGCGAAAGCAGACATTTCCTGGGTGTCTGCCAGTCCACAATTTTAGTTATTGTTTTCAAACAATCCCTGAAATCGACAGAAATCCTTTTAGCGTGCGAAAGAATGAAAGTAATAAAATGGGATGATTCTATAAAAGATTATTGATAGCGTCTGGACGTCTGGAGACAGAATAGCTTTTGGATATTTTCGGGTATTATGCAAAGTATAGGATAAATTAACTTGATAGATCTAAATTTAGGAATATTTGAAAACTGTTGAGTTTTTGGTTCATTTTTAGGGTCCTAAGAATATATAATGTGTGTATTAAAAGAGCTCTGACAGCCTTTCTTGGTGCTGGAACCTTAATAAAGGCTTCTCTCGACTCCTTGTACTCCAAGAAGTAATTAAAAAAAAAAAAGATAAAAAATAAATCTGAATAATTTTCTTACTAACTGCGCCACTTACAGTACTTTTCTGAAATTCATATTGATTGATGTTTTCAACCAATTTTAATTATTATTTTTTTGTTTTCAGCACATGGTCCAGACCGGTATGACGGGCCCATTCCAACAGGCGCAACCGGCCACTCCAACAGGTTTCCCAACACAAAACGGCGAGGTCAAACATGGGGCGGAGGAGAAATCTGCAGTACCTGCGCTCCTACCGCCCCCAACGGGCGCACCCACGCCAGGAGCAGGTCCTCCTTTCAGTCCGCCACCCCCGCAACCCCCCTCATCCGTGGAACCGCCGGTGAGCATAGCATGTAGTCCCGCGGCGTTAGCCGCGCAGACACAACCTCAATTCAAATGTGAACAGATTCCGACGGTATGTAGAATAACACATTAAGTTTTTAATTCGGCCAAAGTTTTTGATTAAATATATCTAAGGCCGTTATATCGGGCGTAACATGCGATCTTGGAAATTAAAACAAATTAATTATTATCTATTACGGTTAACTTCAAAACATTCGCAACAACTTCACAATTATATCATGTAATCCACAAAAAAATATTTCTAAAGTAGACCATGGCCGACAAAGACAGATACGAGCGATAACTACAAGACTCTTGAGTTAAAGCCAATCAGCCATTTAAAAAAGAAGGATTGTACACCGACATGAGTAATTTTTTCCATGACCTACTGTTGTGGATCACTCCATACTAGTGACGTATCTGTGTTCCATTGCATGCAAATTCCAAATTTTAGTTGACTTTATATGAAGTTAAATTCGTGAATTTTCTTTGAAACTTTTTTATCGCTCTAGTCACTCTGAATAAGCAGATAAGTCCATAAAAATCGTTTTTCTAATATAAGATCTATAGATCGTTCCATCTTTAACAACACAAGGTCACGAGAGACGAGCTAAGTTCCTCTGGCCTGTAGGGGCCACAAAATTTCGAACCTCAGTGCCCATATATTTTTTATCCAATTTTATTAATTTTAAAAAACATAATTAACAAAACCTATTAGGCATTTCAACAACCTGTCCAAATGGTGCCCGTGGGTATTAACAGGTTATGATATGGCAACGCTGTGGACCTGTTGTCTTTGACAGGGTCAATGATATATAGTTATATAGATTACTCAAAGCAGGTAATTTTGTGAGCGGCCATATTGCCCCTCAAATGCTCATTAATCAGAATCGGCTTAGCAAAAATGTTTTAATTAAAACCAATTTTCAGCCTTTAAATAGTAAAAAAAAAATAACCTACATTTTTACTTTTTTACTTCATCAGGCCTACAGGGTTGCCATATCATAACTTTCCATTACCTACTGGCAGTAATTTTGTTTGGAATGTCTAATAGTGTTGTTGATAGGGGTGGGTTCGTGTTCGCAGCATAAACACTTGGTTACATTTTATCAAAATGTCATAATTTGACAGTTCATCGGGTCAAAAACACTAAATTTTTCTTTATTTACAACAAATAAGTCACTTTGGAAACTCACGTTCGCTTAGAAACATATACAACAATATTAATTAAATTAAGTCAGTAACGCATGTCACCAATATTATAAACTTTCGATTATTTCGAAATATAGCATCTGTTTAAATTTCAGATTAAAATCTTAAATTAAAACATAATTTATGTAAACCTCCTATTTTCAAGTCATTTGTGTTAAAATCACACACTTCAAAAATGCATATTGTTTGCCCTTCATTTGCCCTTCAAATAACTCATCTCGCTTTCTTTATCCATGCATTAAAGAAGTGCATATTGTATTAACCATTCTGCGAATGAGTTAACAGTCGCACACGTCCCTATATAATACGAGTTAAAAATATTGCCTTCTCAACCAGTGCTAAAGGTTACGTATGCACCTTCCAAAATAGAACCACGCCATATTCCCTAGCGCGCGCTATCTCACATGTTGCAATGCTTGTCTCGCTCCCTCTCATTGAAGTCGAGAAATAATTCTTCAGAACATTCCAGACTCAAGTAGGCCACGCCCACTCACACAGGATTCAACCAGAAAAATTCACTGCTCTCCGACTCGCGTAGTAACAGAAAGGATGGGAAGATATCTTATACCAGTTTAGTTAACCTAAAAGGTGCAACATATAGTGCCAGGCACTTAGTCAATCAGACGCTGCCTTAAATGTCCTGACCAATAACCTCCATGTAAACAGACATTTATGCAACCATGAAGTGAATTTTCGAAGCACAAAAGCTAGCATATGTAAAAAATGTGTTTGTTTCCTATAGTGGAATAAATAATGTAGTTCATGTAGCTTTTAATTTACATGCTGCAAATTTTCCGCCCACAACTGAAATACAGTTCCATTTTGTCCAGGGTAACACAACACAAGAATATCTGAGTGTAGAAAATCATATTTTAACCTAAGACAGGCTCTTTACTGTCACTCTGACAACAGGCGAAATTTTAGCTAATTGCAGTAACGAATAAAGTCACAAAAGTAGGTACATTTAGATGTTCTCTCTCTTTTTTATTATACCTTTCTGAAAGGGTCCCCAAACGATATGTTTCCAAGGGTCCCAGCATGGTCTAAGACGGTCTATATAAATTGTTAGGTAATTGAAGGAGGGTATCCAACTCCTCAAATGTGATCATCTTATGTAGTACCAAAGAACACAAAATCAATCCCACATAAAACAATTTTATTCAAAAATATGACAACCGTTTTCGACCATCATCAGGTCTACACCATTGTTTTCTTTTTGTAGACCTGATGATGGTCTAAGGCTGAAACCGGTTGTCACGTTATGATTAAAATTGTTTTAAGTGGAATTGATTTTGTGTTCTTTGGTACTATGTTAGGTAATGTTAGGAATCACTAAAAGAGATGACACACAAACCAACCTGCTAGAAATAATCTAAAATATAATAATTACTTATTTGAAAAAACTCCAAAATATTTGAGATATTTCTTTCACTTATTGATAGTACGTTTATTGTTAGTTCGTTTATGGCCGAAAAACTAGAGTATGGAGTATAGAGTATGGAGTATAGAGTATGGAGAATAGAGTAGAGTATGGAGTATAGAGTATGGAGTATAGAGTATGGAGTATAGAGTATGGAGTATAGAGAGTTATATCATTTTGACATAATTTTACGCTTATCTGCTCATTCAGGGTTACTAGAAAATTATTTTGATGGTACCAATATATATCTGCGGATTTTTAGGAAACCGAAAATGGCCAATCAGTCCCACCTCCGACGTCAGAATCCTCAGATGGAACGAATCAATCGGCGGCGCAGGCAGCTACAGATCTTTCGAAAAGTCAACCAAAAAGGTTACACGTTTCCAACATTCCATTCCGGTTTAGGGACCCAGATCTTAGAGCAATGTTCGGGGTAAGCAAAAAACCAATTATGTGTCATTAAGAATGGGACACAGAACAAGTGAAAATTATCTGATTTAAAATAAATAGATTAAATGAAAACATGCTTAAATAAAATATTACTGGTTTGACGATTCAAAAATTATTAATGGCTATAATTTTTTTATTTCTCATTTTTTGGTGTCATAAGATACACCTATCGGAAATAGTTAAATAACCTTTGCCAGTGGCGTACGCCATGGATTAGTAATAATGTTTTCATACCTTCTAAATTTTACGCCACTGCACTATGGTTTCTAGGAAGGGATTTTTTGGCCAAAATTGATTTTTTCAACTCTAAGTAAATACATTTTTAGATCGATATATTAAAAATTAATACTCCAGAGCTCACGAATCGTAACTGTGATTTTTATTTGAGTGTCCCTTTTACCTAACTCACGTAACAACAAGTTGTAGTTTCTGTCGGGGTCAGTTATGGTAAATAAATCGCCGAGCTAAACTGTGGTGATTTTTAAAAATTGTATTTTCAGTGAACTTTGGTATTACCGTTAAGGTATGAACTTTTAATTGATATAAATAAAAATACGTAATTCTTCAACCTAGTTTTTTAAATTAATCAATACGTAAATAGTGTATATTTATTTAAAAAATTGTAAACTCCAAGATTTATAGTTTATTTGAAAATTAATGATAGCAAAATGTTTATGACCCAGGAGATAAACCCTAATAAAACATCATAAATCAGTGGCGGATAATTTCTAAAATAAAATTATTTGTTCCGAAATAAAATCTTTAGTTTTCTTCCTAAAATTTAAAAAAAAAAACTAATTTATTTCTTAAATTTTCTAGTCATTTTAATAAACAAAAATAAGGTAAGTATGTAATATCTACAGGTAAAAATATTTACAATTCAAGATCAATTTAAGTAGCCCTCAACTTTCTTAGAAGGGATTAAAATTTCTAATCGGCAGAAAGTGTTATGCAGATTGTAAATTATTTTAGTTACGGTTTACATTTCTGTTTGTATAGTCCTGTGATTGTAACACGTAGAATTGTTAGTTCTGTCATAATAGGCGATAAAAAACGATATTGCTCAAGAGAATTTTTGCAATAAAAATGGCACAAACGTCTAATTATACTCCTGTGAAATTAAAGTGCAATTTAATAGTGCATATGAAAACCTTAGTGTTAAATGTACATGACGCTATCGTACATGAATATTTCAATAGTACTGTTCGAAGTATAGTTTCTAAGTGTTCAAATATGACCGGAGTTGGAGAAGCAACAAGTTTAGACTTTTGAAGCAACGAAAGGATGGAATTATTACAGTAGCACCTAAAACGTCAACTGGGAGAAAACCCATTCAATTACTATGAAACAACTGATCCGAAGAAAAGTTCATTCGTTTTATTTACAAAAAAGATACCTACTTTGGATAAACTTTTAGTAGACATTAATGGATACGAAACTTTGCCAAACTTTAAAAAGAGACAAATTGTGGAACACTTTACATGAATTAGACTTCGTTTGGGAGAAGAACGATAGAAAATCTGCGCTTATAGAGAAAGATTAAATTATTTTTTGGATGAGGCAATATTTAAGGGAAGTTAGAAAAATAAGAAGAGAAGACAAAAATATTTTTTATTTTAATAAAAGTTTGGCAAGATAAACAGGTTACAAATGCTCGTCAGGCATTTATAGAAGTTTTGTATACTGGCTTAAAATTTTCAAATGGTAAAGGTCGCCGTTTAATTATTACTCATACTGGAGGAGATAAAGGATTTGTTGATAGAGGCTTGATAGAATCTGTTTCAAATTTTGCGAAACATTGCTATGAAGAAATGACTGCTGATGTTTTTGACGAATATTTCAGTTAAATGATAAATTTATTACGACGGATTGTTGTTACCATGCCAGTTACCATTAAAGATTAAAGGAACCGTTACCTAACACTAAATGAAAATTGGCTAATATGTGAATTTGGTAGCACAAATCATGGCAACGGATGTTGATAAAACCCTAATAACAAAATTTAAAATCATCCTAATTTGTTTGTCTTGCCAGTACCAACTACTAGATGCAGAAAAATTTGAAATTTTTTGTCATTAAACTGCCAGGAAAAAATATTCCTGGTATCCTATGCCTGTAACTTCATAAAGTTTTAGTACATGGGAGAGAGATAATGGAGAATACCATATTGCACGTGGGATATTTCGGGAAGAGGGATTTGAAGCCAGAAATAAACTTTACAAATATGATCAACAATTTCACGCTAGGAAAACGAGCCGACAGAATAATCTCGAAAATGTTTTTTCACCGAGGTATGGATACCTCAGATCCCATTATTTCAAGTATAAATTTACAAAAACGAATAAATAAACAACAGAAGTTCAAGCTTCCAGCGGAAGTTACAGAAATGCTTTTAGAACAACAACCACAAACTTTGGAACATGAAGAAAATCTAGAGGATGATTATGGCGAAGACGAAGGGGAAGAAACAATTTTGAAAGAAATAATGCCTGATCATTTGGACTCACTTGAGGTAGATATGGAAATGTGTTTTAACTTTTTTATTTAAATTACCAAATGTATTTTTTTAGAACAAAGGTATTTATTATTTTAAATCTAGTTCTAAATGACTCAAAATGAGTTTTATATAATATACTCAGGGCCACCGAGAGCCAGGTCGGGCCCAGGCCCTTTCAATATCATTTCTAAAAAAAAAAAAACTTCTCCCCTTAAGTAAAAGTAGGGAAGAGGGTGGATGATTCGGCCAGTTTGTAGAAAACAACCCATAGAATCCATATTTCTTGTTAAATATTGATAGTTTGCATCGCTACATAATCTTTAGACATTTCTAAGACTAATACAAGCGAAAATAGTGACATAAACGTATTTCCAGGATTTTGCGCAATAAATATAAAAATGTCAACAACACCGGAGGCAGATTCGGCCAGCACTGAGGGAGGATTCGGCCTATGTATAAATTAGTATAAAAGATATGGATATTGGCATATTATTTAGTACAAAAATTTTATAACTTTAATTTAGCAATAAAAAAGTTTTTCTTGATAAGTATACATTGAAACAAAAGTATCCTGAAGAAAAATATAAGTTTATTAACGAACATCCATTACTTGGAAATTATAACTAATTTTATGGTTGTGCAAGCCTAGCCTCAATATCATTAACTTGCATCATTGCTATATCATTAATAATCGAAAAGTGGAAGCTGGTTTAATTTCTTTTTCACCTTCAAAACTTTTCCTTCTTTTTTTTTCTAAAATCATGTTCACTCATCAGAGCCTACCTCTAAAACTATGGCACTTTTTTGTTTATTCCCAATTTTTGTTTCTTTCTAACCATGCGTACGCTTGTTGAGCGACTTTGAACTTTTAGGAGTGAACATCAGACTGACCCTATAGGGACTGCGAGTTCTGTTGTGCCATTTTTGGCTCTCTGAAAAACGTTCTGTAGAACCCGGATTGACACCGCAGAATCGCGTAAGCGATATTGTTGTTTTGTCTTGACATTGATTTGAACTTTTTTGGATTTCTCAAAAAAAAGTAAAACATGTAATTACATTTTAAATTTGATCATCCTTTAACTATAACTTCCTTCTCCAATCGCAACTAGGCCTGAGAAACTTTATCTCGAGCGAGGCTTCCGCGATGCCGTTTTTGTTTCTTCCTTAGAACCAACGATAGCACAACGGGATCTGTTTAGCCCTAGTCGCCGAGGGAGAAAAATAATTTCTGAATATAAAACATTCTCTTGTAAAATAGAAGTGTATTGCATTTTTTACCATCATTTCATCAACTTCTCTGTCAGTTTTGCGTTTATACTTTCGAGGCATCTATAAAATCAAACAGAGGATTGTTTGAATAATACTCATACTAGATATGGGGATGATTTCGGCCGTAGCCGAAACCTCCACCTGCCTTGGGGCCGAAGCATCATCATTAATCCAAATTCACAAATATGGCACGTGGGCCAGTTAGTATTCATATTTAAGGTTAGGTTATTTATGAAATATAGCTCTAAATACGAGTACTAAGTGAAATATTTTTACAAATTGACTATTCACAAGAGTTTCTTAAATTTGTAAATTGCAAAACTCTTCTTATTTTATCTAAAAACATTCAAAAATGTATCATCACAAACAAACACTAGCGAGACGCTGTCCATGCGGCTCAATACTAAACACAAGCTTGTGGGCGTTCAAAATCATTGACGTTTCGCAGGAAATTTGAAATAGTAAAATTAAATCGCTGATGGACGAATCCTCCCAGGGCCCCCTAACCCTCCACCCTCTCCCCTACTAAAAAAAAAAAAATTCTCTTTGGTGAAATCTAATAAAAAATGTCGTGCTGTGGGCCCGGGAATTTGTCCCAAAAAATTGGTTCATTGAAACCATGTGCACTGTCCATAAACTTATTTTGGACTATAGTTTTACATTTTTTGATGTTTTTTTAAATAATTTATGTACTCTTGTTGGGAACTGATAAAGTGATGTTGGGAACTGATAAAGTGATTGCTTTTCGAGATATTCACACTCAAAGGTGAATATTCTTCATTTTAATAATTTTTTTAATTTTTGGAATTTTTTATAAAATACTGAGCAAACATTTTTGGTGCCATAAGATACACTCACTAGCAAAAAATCATTTAAATAAACTTTGCCAGTGGCGTACGGCATGGGTGAGTAAACCTTTATCCCTTTTACATTTTACGCCATTCTCTAAAAGCTTATTTAGAAAATAATTTTTAATTTTTGATGTTTTTTAAATAAATCATGTACTCTTGTTGGGAATTTGTAAAAAATCAAAAATTTGAGTGTGAATATCTTGAAAACCAATCACTTTATGAGTTCCCAACAAAAGAGTATATGATTTATTTAAAAAACATCAAAACATTTAAAACTATATTCTAAATAAGTTTTTGGACAGTGGCGTAAAATTTAGAGGGTATAAATGTGTTATTTGTCCATACCGTACGCTACTGGCATAGTTAATTTAACTGATTTTTTGCTAATATGTGTCTTATGACACCAAAAATGTTCGCCGAATTTCGTAAAATTATATTAAGAGATAAAAAAATTATAGCCACTAATAATTTTTGAATTTTCAACTTTAACGGAAACCAGTAATATTTTATATATACATGTTTTGTTTAATCGTCTTATTTTTAATCAGAGAATCTTCAATTAATCTGTGCCCCATTCTTAATGAGACACCTATAATAAATATTGTTTTGGCATTAGTTTTGGAGCATAGTAGATTTACTTTTTTCGGTACTTATGTATTGTAGTTAGTTCTATTTGAACCAAATTTAATCGATATAATCTCATTTTATTGGAATATATCAGGCGATATTGCCTGATTTCGACGTATTCAGATGAATTTATGATCTATAAATGTCAGAAACGTATATCGCTTCGATGATAATCTATAATTCACTAATTATATTTTAATTTTGCAGCAGTTTGGCCCAATTTTAGATGTAGAAATAATTTTTAACGAACGGGGTTCGAAGGTATGTATAATTTTTTGATACCTAATTAATATATAAAAATTTGAGCCAGCTATGTTGCTATTAAAGTTACAGTTATTGCAGGCAATACCCTAAATTTTACGATAATAAAAACACTTGTAGTTTCGCACGCCATTTGAGTGATCAAAAGCAATATTTTTAAAACGCTGTGGATTTATGAGTGTTTTTATTTTCGGCGACTTTTTAAAATTCCTTTTAGTTTCTATTTGATTCTTTGAGACGAGTCAGTGCTATTTTGGTTTAGATTTATCGTTTTAACATGCTTCCTATTATTAAATGTATTTTGGACATGTGCATTTTGACACAAATGTAGGTGGAAAATTAACATACATATTGTATCCGATGTTCTTGGTTCTTAGTCATTTGAATTTACTTACATATTTGGTGATTCCATTTTTTTTTATTATATAATTTGACCAGGCTATATTTTCTAGGCTTTAGAAGTATACGAGAAAATAAAATGGGATTTATACTATTTCTAGAATATTTCAAAAATGATCTAATGGGCATTTAACTAAATATAGGTGAAATTTTCAGTTTGACATACATTATTCAATTTATCAGTAGTTGGGCTATGCGATTATCAAAATAAATAATCGAATAAATCCATTAATATAAATATTCGATTAATCAATAATAATCGATTAATCGAAAATAATCAATTAATCTAAAATGTTCGATTATCAATTAAAAAATCGATTAATAATCGAATAAATCCATTAATATAAATATTCGATTAATCAATAATAATCGATTAATCGAAAATAATCAATTAATCTAAAATGTTCGATTATCAATTAAAAAATCGATTAATAATCGAATAAATCCATTAATATAAATATTCGATTAATCAATAATAATCGATTAATCGAAAATAATCAATTAATCTAAAATGTTCGATTATCAATTAAAAAATCGATTATTCGATTATTTTGCTCGTCCCTAAACAGGAGCAAGTCGGTGTGACTGAAAGTTTTAAAAAATAATTTTCTTAATTACCTCATTCAATATGTGTGAATTTTTAATAAAAACTTAAAATGAAGAAAACGTCAAAATTTTTAATTATATATACGCGATGACAGTCTTTAGCCACTGTCAAATTATTCTTTCAAATTGAAATAGAAAATGCCACGTTTTTATTGCGTTTCGTGATCTATAATCTAATGAAGACAACTCTTGAAATCACGACATATTTCATACTTCATGATAAATATTATCGATAATGATTACACTCGTTGCATTTCTATATGGATAATGTGTGAGTCGATGACAATTTTTTAAAAAACGGTTGAAAAGATATTTAAAAAGTATCTGAAAGTTTAAGAACGACTATAGAGTGCTGTGGCCTTACTAAATAAAGAATACAAATCCCATTTTGTCCTACTCAAACACAATAAATTAGTTTGGTACATAATATCTACAGAGTGAATCAGGCGAACTGTACATATTTGTGTGATACATCGGTGCACACTTTAATAGGAATATCATTAGAAAGTATCAAATACCCATTTTTACTAATATATAGGGTAATTTATGAATTCATTCAGCCACGAGTTCAAACATTATACCACCGATTACAATTTCCTTACTTTTTTTTAATTGAACTCGTTTCTCTAGCATCTGATATGCTCAAAGGTCAGAAATTCCATGCCAATTTTAAAGAATGATTTCATTCTATATTTTTATTAACAGATTTCCAGTGCTGACCATGCTGTTTTATTTTGTTTCTAACAACTCTGCATACCTATATATTTTATTTTTTTAAATGATGAAAAACTGAAAATAAGTGTGCATCCTAGCTATTCCATTACAAAATTTGCGAACGTATAAAAAGTATATAATTCTTAAAATTTCGCCTAAGAAAATAAAAGGGTTTTAATAGGTCGAGCTCCATCCAATTCATGTCAATAGGATAATAATTGCAAAAAGTATTCAAAATTTATCAAGAGGGGTCTATTTATAAACTAGAATGAAGACATATAATGCTTGGCATTCTATATTATACTCTTCACAGTTTAACAGACCCCCCTCCCCCTTAACCTCGATGTTCCGATTTTTTTCAGAATCAATAGGCTTCATCCCCTTATAAAGTTTGATTTTTCCTAAAGATTTCAATTTGATATCGTTTATTGGTTCTAATTTATGATTTTTTTTTTAATATTTCAATCCCCTCTTATCCACCATTTTTATTCAGATTTGTTTCAGAATTGATAGGCTTCATTCCCTTATAGAACTTAATTTTTACTAAAAATGTCATATTTATTATCGCTTTTGGTGTTTAATTTCAATTTTGTTTTATTTCAATCCCCCTTAACTCCCCATTTTGTTAGATTTTTTTTTTACTTAATATGCTGTGCCGGGGGGTGGGTGGCTCAGTGGTAGAGTCTCTGCCTGCGGATCCAAGGGTCCCAGGTTCGAATCCCACCATTGACCGGGATTTTTTTATTTAATTTCATTATTTAAAATTAATTGATGCCTAAGTAGGATTTCCCACTCGACCATTCACTGTTGGGTTCTAATTAACAGTCCTGTTCCTAAAGTGGCGCTGGGAAACAGTAACAAAGCCTACACAGAACACGATGCGAAATAACCTTAGCAGTTGAAGCCGATGACGCACAAAAATAGGCTTTGATAGAGCTTGATTTTTTAAAAATTTCAAGTTGATATTATTTTTCGTTTTCGATTTATGATTTTTTTTTTAATTTCAATCTTCCTTAACCGCTCATTTTTAATTAGATTTTTTTTCAAAATTAATAGGTTTTCTCCCGTTAAAGAGCTTGATTTTTGCTAAAACCTTCAAATTGGTATCATTTTTCGTTTTTGAGTTAGGATTTTTTTAATATTTCAAGCCTCCTTAGCCTCCCATTTTTTGTTCAGATTTTTTTTTCAAATCAATAGATTTCTTTCCTTTATAGAACTTTTTGCTAAAACTTTTAAGTTGATATCATTTTTCGTTTTTGACTTATCGTGCAGTCAAAAAATGCATAATACTCTTCAGAGACTACTGTGTGAAGAGTATATTAGTTGAAACCTACAATATTCTCAAAATATGTTAATAACCATTCGATCTTTCAATACTTAGTTAAACATAATATACTGACCCTTAAACATTAACGTCTGCATGAGTCGTACAGTATATTTTTTCTACTACCCTTTGAAGGAAAGCTACAAAATGTAAAAGACGAATTTAGAGGTTAAAGATAAAATAAGTATTTTAAAAGTAAAGAAATAACACAAATATGAATTATTTAGGAATTTTACTAATTTTTATAAAATAATATTAGTGAGTACGAAAGTGTAAAGAAATGTCCTTTATTTCTCACAGTCAATTTACCGGTTTCGAAGTGATTACTTCATCATCAGGCACAGCTAAATGGAAAGTCATGGAGTCAATGTATTAAAAGGTGAAAATTATTTAAAACAAAATTGAAAATTGAACAAATTTTTTTTTAAAAAAGAAAAAAAGGGGTGTTAGTAATAATTGGACTATATCCATTACGGAAAAGCTACGTAATTTTAAAAAGTCACTGTGAATATTATATAAAATTTATGTCAGAGATTATATTTTATTTTAAAGGTTCAAAAACCAAACCAAACTAAGAGGTGTCTACTTAAGGTAGGAGGAACCAAAAGCAATATTTAAATTTACATAAAACAATAACAAAACAAGTTACGAAAAAACATTTTTAAATTTTTATAAAATCAGGCATTTTGTCCAAAAGCACATGAGAAAATATTATGAAATACTGTTTCATAATTGAAACAGTTACTCGAAAATGTTGCCAGCTTTTGAAAACACGGAAAGAAAAACAATGTGGACAATGATATTGTCATACTCTGATGAATGAGTACTCTCTTTGTTATGTTTGCTGATTGTTACACAGCCTTTTCATTTAGGTATTTATAAAACGATTTCAAACATGGAATTTTGTGATGGAAACAGTAGGGATGCAGTTTTAAAGTATACGTAAGCATATATTATGTTGACCATCAAACATTTTCATCTGCATTTAATTAAGTTCGTCATAACTGTACATTTTCTAAATCAAGATCTGAATAGGATAGATTATTTTCTATATAAAAAAAATACCAATATATATTTTTATTCATTTATCGACGATTCAAAACATATTTGAAATTTGATAAACATGACTTTGCCAAATAAATTCTAAAAAAAATCTGTTAATAATAAGATCGTCTATAAGACTTTAGAATCTACAAAAAAATGCACGTTTTTTTTTATTTACCATTGGCGTACCTTCAAAATAAAGTAACATTTTTAATAAAATATAAATTGTTTGTTAAATAGTCATTCTTTTTCATGATTATTAACGATTTTTATGAAAATGCTATTATTGAAAGGGTACACACAATTTTTTCTCGAGATTTTTTTTAGATTATTTATTAAGCAGTTTTAGGTAAGAATGAAAAATATCAAATAACTTTGAAATAATCAGTAATCGGGTAACAGCATACATATTATTCAGGTTGAAAATAACCTCTTCCATCCATAACTTATGGATATCATTATGTATATCATTGATATTATTAACTTTGTAAATCCAGATCCTTCATAACCCGGAAAATCCGATTAATTGAATAGTTGTCCCTTCTTTAGCTTTAAATTAATAAAATATGACAGTTCAATATTCTACTGTTACAGTATAAGAGCAGTGACATTAGATGACAAACTTGCCTACTAGATCGTTATAGCGTTAGTGAAATGGATGTTATTATTATACAGTGTGGAACAGCCAAATGGAATAAATTCGGTAATAAATAAATGGGGGCGTGTTCGGAAAAACGCTCGGACACGTCGATTGGTATTTTTAGTTGCATTTTTTTTTAACAAAAACTTTTTATACAGGGTGTGTCATGTAACAGTGGCCAATACCAACTTTCCCATTTTAAGTGCAACACCCTGTATATTTTTCAATTTTTGGATTCTTCAGAAAATTCTAGACATATTTTATGTACTATATCATATACCTACCTGTTTCGGAAAATTTCCAGTTATGCCAACCCATCAAAAAAATTCCCCCAAGCCCATTTTAAATTCCCCCTAAAACGTGATGAAATTTTTAATGGCTCTTAAGGATTTACGCAGTGCGAATATGCTTTATTTTCAGTAATAATTTTTTGATTAGTTAGTAATTTTAATCAAGTTATTTGGAAGTCAGGGTATTGGGTAAATTGTCTGGTTAGATACAACCCAAAAAGAAATAAAAGAAAATTTAATTAAATGTTCTACCGGTTACACAATAAGTTTATTGACTAAACAAGATGCAAAGAAATTCGGAAAATTCAACAAATGACACTATCAAGTTTAGCGATCAAATCATAGAGGGCGATATTCTTTTCGTGGATCGCTTTCGTGGAGAAGTCATTTTAACTGAAAATAAAAAAAAGTATCTCCCTAAAAAATACACTAAAAAATTTTCCCCTAAATTTTTTTTTTTTAATTCTTCCTCCTAAATTTGGGGGAAACCCCCCAAGTTGGTATCACTGTCGGAAATATTAAATATTTTCCGATTTATTGCAAAAATTAACATCAAATAAAATTATTTGTTTACAGAAATTCGTTCACTCAAAAACTAATAAGTAATACTGTTTTTTTGGTGGTAAAGTAAAAAAAAATCATCTCAATGTAGATGTTCAAAATGCTCGCCGCGAACCTCTAATCTGAAATAAAAATGTCTTCTAACGTGACTCAACATCTCAGACGTGACCGATCTAATTTCAAGCGTTATTCGTCTTCTTAAGTCAGTTAAGTCGAGAGGTTTAGTTTTGTATACAATACTTTTAAAATATTCCCATAAGGAAAAGTCTAATGATGTCAGATCAGGGGATCGTGCTGGCCATTCCATCGATCCTCGCCTCCCTATCCACCGATTTGGAAATACTCGATTGAGGTACTGGCGGACATTGATTTGGTAATGGGGCGGTGCTCCATCTTGCTGAAACCATATCATATTCGCTGAAACTTGTGGGTTTGCTGGATCGGGATATAAGTTCGTTAAAGTTGGCACGACATTATTTTGGAGCAGTGCTAATTAATTATCGCCATTCAAATTGCCATCGATGATAAAGGGACCTATGATATGATTGCCAACGATTTCTGCCCAAACATTAACCTTTCCAGAGAATTGCGTATGGTCGTCTCTCATCCAGTGAGGATTTTCCCTAGACCAATAGCGGCAATTTTGACGATTAGCATAACCGTGAAGTGTAAAGGTACACTTATCAGAAAAGAAAACATGTTCTAATTGGATCACCATATTATCTAACATTGCCATCATTTGTTTACAAAATTGGGTTCTCCTATCAAAATCGTCTTCCATGAGCTCCTCTTTTAGTGTTCGAATAATCGATGTATGGCTAATATCGAACATTGGGTTTTTCTGCACCTCTAGCATAATATCCAATATTGGCAACTGTTTTTTATCTACCTTACATGTCCAAGCTCGCAAAACTGCTTCTCTATTTTACTAATTGTCCCTTGAGATGTATGCGGCAAATTTGGAAATTCTTCATGAAATAAGCTAGCAAATTCCATTTGTGTCCATGTGTTACTCCATAACCAATCATCTAAAGAATTGTTATTTTGTGCATTTCTGTTAAATTAATATTTTTTCTGATATGTAGTCAAGGAAATTCAAACGACTATAAACACTGTCGACTACTGCCATGCAGTCAGATAATTTGCTAAGGTCGGGCGTTTTAAACAAAAATTAACAACATTAAGTATAGCTTTTTTTATTTTATATCGGTAAAAAGGAACGCTGAAATGGTTTATGCTTACTTTCTCAATATGAAGATCTAAATGGGAAATAAGTATTGAGTGTGTTGTAGCGAATTTCTGTAATAAAACAATTTTTATTTTGTTAATATTAATTTTTGCAATAAATCGGAAATCATTTAACATTTCCGAAATAGGTATAGGACATAGTACATAAAATATGTCTAGAATTTTCTGAAGAATCAAAAAATTTAAAAATATACAGAGTGTTGTATTTAAAATAAGAAAATTGGTATTGGCCACTGTTACATGACATATCCTATATAAAAAAATGCGCAACTAAAATACCAATCGACGTGTCCTAGCGTTTTTCCAAACACGACCCCATTTATTTATTACCGAATTTATTCCATTTGGCTGTTCCACACAAAGTTGATTGAAGAAAATATTTAAAAAATGAATGTTAGAAAACAGAAAGGAGGATTATTCCGAGGAAAAAATTTGGATTGATTCTTTGTTGCAAAACACCATCCAAATGTACCAGCTATTAGTCAAGTACATAATGTATGATTACCGATTAATAAAAGTAGGAAATTATTTCATTGTGAGTGATACTTATAATCGGTAATGCCAACTCTTTCAAATAAAATTATTTCCGGTCAAAATTATTTAAAAAATGTTACGCTTGGAAAACGATGACTGTTTAATTAAAAAATATGAAATCACTGATCATACCAGAGAACTCAATAAATATGTATCTTATATTTCCAAACCAAACCGCATAAATTATCAAAACAGATTGTCGAATTTTCGATTTATATATTTATTTTCATTAGCTTTCGGTTTGCATTCACTTACATTTTCTAAATAAATGCACACACGACTTACTAAAAACGCCTTGCTGCAATAACTTTTTTGATTCCTGTAAATGTATTTTGTCTTGATTATTCTCTATCTCGAAACTAATCTTGGCATTGTTCCATAACTATTTGATCATCAGTTTGTTGTATGGCTATTTTTATTGTGAACTCTGTAAGTGATCACTTTGGAAAACATACTTTGTAGCTAACATTGTTTTTATTATTTAGTTGATGTGTCATATATTAGGGGTTATGGTACACTTTAATGCCTGTAGAATGTGCTTCAATAATTTGTGGTTTCCTGTCATTAAATTCAAGGAATGGATTTATTTATTTTCGCAATTTTGAAATAAATCTGATAATAATTTCTTTATTTTAGGATCTTAAAATAAATTTTTTAATATAAAAAAATGTTGCCCCCAAATTTACTTACATTCACTGATGCTGTCAGTGTCGTCAGTACATAATTCAGCAGATTATCAAGAAATAAATTATCAATAAAATTGTATTATAATTAAATAATGATCAAAACAGTTATTTATAGTTTTAAGTAAATTAATAAACTAAAACACCATTAAATTCTAAATCCAATAACACAACCTCATTTAGTTTTTCTTTGTTCAACTATCACTTTGAATTTCATTACCATCTTTTCTTAACTCAAAACATGTTTTTTAATATTTTCACGGCTTCAAATATTAATCCAATTTTCATTAATATTCATGGTGATTATGTTACGTTAAAAATATGTTATTAAACACTTTTCTTATTAATTCTTGTTTATTTTTAAACCGTCGGTTACTTTTATGTAAATTAAATTGGAAATAATAATATAAATCAGTCACACTTGCAATGTAAATAATTTATCAGTTGATTTACTTGGCATCGCATCCTGCATTACACAAAGTATCATTGGTACCTATATTAATACAATTACTTCATACATAATATGTCAAATCGTTTGTTTTCGTCTCAAAATATTATACAGTGTGTTCAAAAAATATGTATCGGTGTCTTAAGCTACTAATTTTCGATAATTCTATTTCCATATCTTGTTTCCTTCATTTTGTAACAGATGTGAGTAAATTAGAGTTTTAGAGATAAAAATTACAAGAGAAAACTAACATTTTATTTTCATAACGATCGTGATAAAATATTTACTTAAATGTGACATTGTAATTTTCTTTTTATAAAATTGGAGGTCTTCTTGCACTTCTATAGGCTTTTTTGTGAATAACACCCTACTATATAACATTTCGTTTTAATAATTATTGATAGCAGCAAAGCTGAGTAGGCTCTTTTGTCACCTTCTTTATATACAACAAGTACTTATACACCGTGTAATTACTATATATGACGTGCATGATACTATATACAACTATTTCTATTATAAAAATATATACATATATAAAAATTTGTGCAATTTGATGACATTATTAATTATATAAACAATATATATGACATATGATGGCGTAGGAGAATTTTTGGTTTTATTTTAAAAAAATTTCGTTTATTTTTTTATCTACTTATATTTATATAATGATTGTGCTGTAGAGGCTATTTCTCAGTTCGTCTGGTTTTTATTGATATGTTCTGTCTAAACTTCATGTCCATCTCACCAAATAACTGATGAAAATTGTGATGACAATGACAGATAATATTTTCTTCTTTTTTTATACACTTGATTATTCTTTCCTGATCGTATACACTAGAGTTGTAGTATTTTAATTTGTAAGAGAAGATAATATTATTTGTCTTTGCTGTTACTTCTTCTTGTTAACAATATGGATTCATATCAACAGTTTTTAATGTTCATTATAACTGCATGTATTTTATTAAAAGAGACATGTATTTTATCAATTTTTACAATTCCGTCCCAGATTAATAGTACAGGATACGAAGTAAGGGCGACCTTCACCCATCTGCTTAATGGTTGAAAGGTATATGTTAAATGTACCCCAAATGGGCCTAAAAAATACTGTCAAGGCTATTTTTTACATTCCTTTCTGTTTACATAAATGTAAAGTATAGAAATCATGATAAAAGTTGCTTGTGATGTCATTTTCTGTAATTTTTGTCCTATGCATGATTTCCCTAAAATGGACGGTATTCGAGATATTTGAGAAAAAGTGCAAATTTCGAATTTTGACGATAACTCAAAAACGGATAAAGAGAAAATACCAAATTTTAAACTTAAGCTTTAATCCATCCTGCGGTGAGCTGATTAAATTTTGGGCTTAGTATAGGGGATACTTTATAGAGTGTCGTTATTTTTTACTTTAAGAAAATAGTATTTTCTTAGGCAACCCATCTGTGGTATATTTATTAATACATTTTATTTAATTAAAATACCTTTCATCCATTAAGCAGATGGGTGAAAGTTGACCTTACTTCGTATCTTAGACTATAAACTATAATAGTTTAATGAAATTTATTTTAAGCACTAAGAAATTAGGTTGTTTAGTAGATATATTGTTTAATAAGAACGAATTTATTTTCTAAATGTCTTACCTTATCGTCACAAATTTGTAATTCTACAAATAGGTCATTGTGGTCATAAATTAGAGAACAGCTTAAGTGAGTAGTAATAGCAACACTATACTCGACTATGCCAGTTTTCCCCCCAGTTCTGGGGAAAAATTAAACCGGCAACACCATAATTTGACCAAGCGTATGGCAAAGCTTAAAACTTTATTCAGATAGTCTTTAAATAGTATTCAGATATTGTAATAAAAACTCTTGTAATGAGTAATTGTTTTTCATATCTTGGATTTTATAGAAATGGGGAATATTGATTAGTTCTGAGGAATTTTAAGAAGTTTTAAGTTTTGCCATACACTTAGTCAATGGCATTACGGTGTTGCCGGTTTAATTTTTCCCCAGAACTGGGGAAAAATTGACCCAGTGAAGTATAGTGCTGCAGTAGTAATAGCAGCACTATACTACACTATGCCTGATTTTTCCTAATATCTGGGGAAAAACTAAACCGGCAACAGCGTAATGCCATTAAGCTTTTGGCAAAGCTTGAAACTATATTCAAGTAGTATTCAATTAGTATCCAAGTAGTACTCATATAGTATTTAAATAGTATTCTGATATTGTAATAAAAACCTAAGTACACCTTGTAATGTAATGAGTAATTGTTTTTCATATAGCGGCCATTTTGGCAATACGGCGTTGTCGGTTTATTTTTTTCCCCAGATCTGGGGAAAAATCTGGCATAGTAGAGTATAGTGCTGCTAATACTACTTAAGTAAACATTTCTGTTAAATCAAATCTTCTTTATTTGCTAATCATATTTTTTGTGTAAAACTGTCTATTACTGATTCCGATTCATTTTTAATTATTATAACTTTTTAAATTATAGAATTCCCTACAAATCTTGAGTGTCATTTCATTCAAAATTTCAAATAATTAAAAATATATTTAATATCAATGTTGCTTCCAAAAATTTTTTCATTTATAATATTGATCGCTTGAGTAGGCGTGACAGCTCCAATTTTTCAAAAACATTCTAATTTGACACAAGTCCATTTTCTTTTGTGTAATTAGCTAGTTGTTTGCATCTGTATTGTTTTTTTATATTCTAAATTTAATGCAGCCAATATTTTAAAAATCAAATTTAATTTATTATTGGAGCAACACACACTAGCTATTTTAAGATTGGCAATTTTTTTTTATCTAGAATGCACATATTAAAAACTGTTGAAGTTGAACCTATACTAGACTTAGCTTGAATTGTTACAAAATGTTATCGATTTCTAGCAATGACTGAACATTTGTGTTGGTTTCTAACGGTGGCTTTTGGGATGTTTGCTAAATAATGTTTTTAGATAATTAGATAAGCTTTCTTACTTTATACATTGTGTTCAGAAATAAATTTAGTTGTTAATATTCTACATCAAAACAGTGAGAGATGCCTATGTTAAATTTAGTTATACCTAGTTACTATTCTAATAAAATTGTTAGTCAATTAAAGCAAGTTAAAGTTCTTATCTACTTTTACAATTTTCTCACTTGAATATCATTCCTTTAATAATATTACAGGCATTTCGTTACATAAAACAAGTTGTTTTAAAATATTTAGCAAAACAGTTAAGGAATTAGATTTTGAAAGGAATACCGATTTAATTGCTGTTGGAATTTTTATAATACAACTTAATGATATTGGTAGATACTTGTTTTTATTAGCTAAATATATCATTACATATTATCGATCATTGGTTATTTCCAATTATTAAAATAAAATTTCTTAATTTACCCTCTGAACACTGTGTATAGAAGAACACCTGCGAAAATGACAAAACACGTAGAGTTAAACTAAATGTTTTTAACTGCATAAGATGATGAAAAAGAATATGTTCTGACAATTATTATGTGCATGTGATTTCACGTCTAACCAATAGTTTTCTGATTTTTCTGTTGTTGATTGCTTTTTCATTTCTATAGAATTATTTGCTTGAAGTGTTATTTGCTTTTTAAATTTAAGCAAACATTCAAATTGTTTATATAATTTGTAAATACAACAACCACCTTTCTTGAGAGTCAAATATGCAGTATTTATAATTATTTTGCATTCATTTAATATTAAAATTAATTAAACATTTAAATTTGATATACATTTATATACATGATATACAAGGAAAAAACTAAATATTCATAATTTCCAATTATTATAACTTAAAAATTTGTATTTGACTCACCTCTACCTCTCAAAAAAATGGGAATTTTATTACCATTACATAATTGGAATTAAAAATTTTCCTTGAGAAATATACCATAATTGTTAATCTTATTATCAGGTAGTTTAAGTTACAGTAAACAAATTAATATTTTCATTTGAAAAATAAGTAATTTAAACAATTTAAATTGAGTAATCAGTAAGTGATAAATTTGCATCTAATAGATAAATTAATTTAATTATGTTACTCAATAGTTTTATTGAATTTCTATGAATTTCCATGAATTTCCATGATTTCTATGAATTTCTATGAATTTCTATGAATTTCTATGAATTTCTATGAATTTCTATGAATTTCTACGAATTTCTACGAATTTCTACGAATTTCTACGAATTTTTATGAATTTCTATGAATTTCTATGAATTTCTATGAATTTCTATGAATTTCTATGAATTTCTATGAATTTCTATGAATTTCTATGAATTTCTATGAATTTCTATGAATTTCTATGAATTTCTATGAATTTCTATGAATTTCTATGAATTTCTATGAATTTCTATGAATTTCTATGAATTTCTACGAATTTCTATGAATTTCTACGAATTTCCACGAATTTCTACGAATTTCTATGAATTTCCATGAATTTCTACGAATTCCCTCAAATTCCCTCAAATTCCCTCAAATTCCCTCAAATTCCTACGAATTTATATGAATTTCTAAATTTCTAAAACACAACTATTCAAATAAAAGTATTATTCATGTTAAAAATATATTTTTGTACATACATTATCATTGAAAATTCAGTTTGTAGAATTTAAGTTGCAAATTGTATCATAGGTTTTAAAATAAATGGCCGAATAGTAACAAAGCCCTGAAGTAAAATATTTATTGTTTAAAATCAGTGAAATATAGAATAAACATCCCGAACTTTGTTAAAAACCAATTCTCTTGTTCATAATATTAGTAATAAATTGTATTCACACAAACACAGACACATCAAAAACACATAAATGTCAAAAGTTTTCCTCATGTTTAATTTCAAACAAAACCAGAAAAAAATATTAATATTAAATCAAGTTTGTTCCCATTAATTTTTATCTTTATTTGACTTGCCTTAAAAATATGGTTTCATGATATTATCATGATTTAAAGATATACCAATATCAATCTTAGAAGTTTAATAAATAACGTCCAACTTTTAAATACTAAAAATGTTCATGTTAAGAAATATTTTTTTTTGTAACTTCATTTAGTTCAGAAGTTTTATATATAAAAAGGGTCAAAGTCAAAATATATGGACACGGTAGTAAAGTATCTTAAGAAGAATGGTATGTCATTTAAAAAACAATTTTAACAAGTATCATTATTATAACTTCTAGACCGCAAGAACATATGCATCGACCTATTAATTAATATAAGGTGATTAGATTCAAATTCATGCTCTGTAGCACGTATTTACTTGCTATTTTGTTTGTTTAAAAGTTAGAGGAAAACTTGAGACAAAATGTAACTTGTTACACACCTTGTGACAATTTTCCAGTCAATATTTGGGCGGTAGATGGATATGAGAGGAGGCGGCGTGTGGTAGTGTAAATAGTTAGGCGCACTTCAACGAATGCCGCCATATTGTGCCACTACTTTTTTGAGAGGCTTAACAGTGTAACGTAGTCTAACCCGAGACTAGTTGATCGTGTGGAATGAGGCTTCTAGAAATACAGAAAATTCACAACCCTAATAGCACATTATGGTCCAATGGAAACTCAGATACATATCTAGGAACACCATCTCCATGAATCATCCAGCTTTGTGTTTTAAATATTTGTTAAATTTTGAGGAAAATGCTCGTTCCATTGGACTTTTTGTGCTAGTAAAATATTGATTTTATTTTCAGATTTTATATGAACTACTTATTTCTACTATAAAGGAAGAGTTCTTATAATGACAAGGTGTTATTTAAGGTAGTGATAAAAATTTGTATTACTTTTAACTGAGAAGCTCATTTCCATCTTAGATTTTTTTACACAGCGAGTCAATAACTACCATTTTTTTTTTTTCATAATTCAGCAGAAGCATAACATAACCTAATAATTGGTCAAAGTAAAACTAATGATATTTAAAATATTAACGGGGAATAGATTGATAATAACACGCAACTATATCATTTCCCATTATCTTCTTCTGCTAAATTATTTAAGAAAACAATTTTATTATCTCTCTCTGTAGAATTTTTTAGGTTTATCATTAAGTTGCCAGATTTGCAGTTATTAAACTCACGTAATACATGTTCAAATTATACTGTTAATTGATATAAAATATCAATCCATCCAGAAAATATTACAACAAAAAATTATGTATTTTCTTTTTATCGATTAAGTTTACTAAAATTCTTACAGAATTAAAACAAAGAAAAATGTTAAATGTAAGTCTAATATTATTATAGTTAAACAGATATTCTCTTAAAAAAGTTTGGCCTAATCAGTAAAATTTTATCTAGCAGTAGAGAGAGATCTGTATTTATTATTGTTTTTATTAAATTAATAACCAATTAATAAAATTATAACTAATTGAACATTATTAAACTAATGCGCAAGCTATTTTACCCAATGTTAAATTACTTACATTTCGAGCTAAAAAAGACAGAGTCGCACAAATTAGTGCAATAATACTTCTGTGGCAGAAACTAGTAGCTCATTTAGAAATGTTAAACATCTTTCAGTTGTTCTTATAAACCACAACTAATTTTACAATTTAGTCACAATGAAGAGCAATGATCTAAATATGAAAACCTTTCACAGTTTTGTGTTTTCTGTTACATTTTTTTTTTGTATATAAATTGAAATATAAAATTATAAATAGAAGTAAACATTTATAACGTGATTTACAATAATTATATTATCAGTTCAGCTTATATTTAATAATAGCAACTTTTAAATAATTCGCCAAATTCAATAGGATTTTCTAAAAACAATAAATCTAAGAAGAAACTAATTGAAACGCAAAATTATAAATTTCTATATGAATTTTAGTTAACAAGGATTTTAAAAAAAATATAAGTGACTTCAGTTAAGGTGATTACAGCACCCTCTTATAATTTTCGGACAAGCATATCTCAAAAAGTATTTTTTTTTTTTAATTAAAATTTTGACAAAATAAATTAGGCAATAATATCTAGAATATGCTTATATTTTAAAGTTTTAAATATTTTCAGTTTCCAAGAAAAAAAATCAAAGGGCTTTAAATTTTGAAATATAATGAAAATAAATGCATTCCTCAACAGCACTATTCTTAATATAATCCCCAAATTTAAGCTCGTAATCTCTTGTAAATGATTTTTCAAAATTCGTCGAAAATAGCGGCTAAAACGCCTCGTTAAGTGCTGCTTTCTGGTGTAACGCGTCTGTAGTTATCGTATCGTACACTCTGAGTCATCATTCGTTTCTTGCAATGATTTACACAAGTTTACACCAGAAAATAGCACTTAACGAGGCGTTTTAGCCACTAATTTCGACGAATTTTAAAAAATCATTAACAAGAGATTAAGAGCTTAAATTTAGGGATTATATTAAGAATAGTGCTGTTGAGGAATGCATTTATTTTCATTATATTTTAAAATTTAGAGCCCTTTGATTTTTTTCTTGGAAACTGGAAGGAACTAAAACTTTAAAATATATGCATATTTTAGATATTATTGCCTCATTTATTTTGCCAAAATTTTATATTAAAAAAAATACTTTTTGAGATATGCTTGTCCGAAAATTATAAGATAACAAAGATATAAATTTCTGGCTCGAATGTCAGTTTTTAAAAAACCACTGATACAAAGCAGTAATTTGTCTTTCTAAAAATGTAAGTGCACTTAGTTTTCTTTGTCAATATTTTATTATTTTAATCTGGAAAACCTAAAACAGGTTTAATTTGAGCATTTATACACGGTTTGATTGCAATTGGCACAAACGTACTACCCCGAAAACAATGAAAACATGTTTTCCTCCATTCTGGGTATTCGTCTAGGGTTTCAATATGACCGCGGTGTGCTATTAGGGACGAAAACCAATGGCATGCGTCTTTATGAACAAATGTCTAACGTCATCATGTCATTGCACGAGTTTGAGAAGCTGTTTATAATGCATGTCTTGTCTGTCTTTGCATGCAGGGTTTCGGTTTTGTAACATTCGCAAATAGTGCTGATGCGGAGCGCGCACGAGACCGACTACATGGCACCGTGGTTGAGGGAAGAAAAATAGAGGTGTGCATGATTATTATTCATTTTTTTCTGTTCTCTTATATTATGAGTAACTCGGCTATTAAGAATTTTTACACCCGGTTTGATTGTACAAAAGATTTCGACACCGGTCTCTACGTTTTTGAAATGTTTTAAACCGTCAATTTTTGACACATACGGTCTTCACCAGTTTTCCCCTAATTATAAGTTTTTTGATATAGCGTATTTTTGGCTATAACGCAACTATGTGATTTCAAATGGAACACCCTATATATTTTTAGATATTCAAAAAATATACAAGATCTTCCATTAGAAATTTTTAGTCCAATTAAACCGGAAATGAGCCAAAAATACAGTACTCATAAAAAAACTTTAAAAAATTAGAAGAAAGCTGGTTAAAAATCATTTAATTGTCTAAACTAGTTTAAAAAATGTAAAGGGTATAATAAAAAATTACACATTTTTTAAAATTTACATTTTATTATATTTTATTTAAAAGGAAGTGGAGTAACAATTAGTAATTTTTTATAGTGATCATTTGGAAAAAATACCTGCAACATTTTACACAACAACGCTCTATATCATTTTTTATTTTCATTAATATCAAAACTTCTGAATTTGAAGACCCTTTCGTTCTTCTACTCGTTTTGGTTTTAATGGGCCTCATCAGGTAGCAGAAGAATATTCATTTAAGTGCCGCTAAACCACATTTTCTTTATTTACCTATGTGTTCACGAATTATTGATGAGAGAACGTCGAATTTTTTGTACACGAAAAAAAAAACGATTTCGAACTTTCGTTGCTCATAAAAGCGAACAGTTTCTAGCTATCTACGTGTAGCACTGGCCTGTCCCGTCCCTCCCCGGTAAAAAAAGGTCAAAACCCCGTGTGACTGGCTTGCTGGCTTTAGTGACTAACCGGTAGCACACCACTCCCTTGCTTCACACGTGTTGTTTTGACGTTCTTTTGCCGCACACACTGTCAGATTTTTTATTCAACTACTTTTTTACTCAACAACAATTTAATTGGGTGGAATGTCGTCTTAAGTTGGAACGAATTGCCGATTTCAATTTTGTACGTTTTGGCAGTTTTGCAGTGCGAGAAAAGAAGAATTACTTTCTTCATTTCCTGCAACATTGGAACTGTCTTTTCTTCTTTTTTTTTTAATATATTTGATGCATAGTCTTTGTTTTGAAGATTGTGAATCAAGAACAACTTGGCTAACACATCATTTTTTTTCTGTCAATTCTCTGAAATGTTTAAAAGCCTTGATGAGTACTATTACATCATTTATTAGATACATATTCTTACAATCATTCATTTTGTTAAACTATACAGATATGTATATATTAATCTTTTCCACAAACATATAAAAAAAATATATCGAATTCGCTTTATGGAAAAACAATGCAAAACATACAAAAAAACACAACATCTTTCTATTCTAGAAATATCTATTGTTGTAGTAAAAATGAAATAAATTCGTTTTACATAACTTACTATATGTTATAGAATGTTTTGCATCTTTGGTATATTCATGAGCATGTAGAAAAGCTAAATTATGACCTCACAGATGCTAATTAATTTTAAATGAGCTTCAGGAATATGGTATTAGATAATGTAAAAGATTTAAAGGAAACTGATTTATAAAAGTGGTATTAATAATATTGGTGAAGATAATCTCCCAAGCACAATACTAGATTAACCCAATTAACAATGTCAATTTCTAGAGATTGTCTCTATGGAGTTATAAACAGTTATATTGCATGAAGTATATAATGGGATTGGTAATGTGAATGCTGCAACCATATATATGGAATATAATATGTGTTACCAACTAGCAGTAACTGCATATTAACTTTTTGGAATCCTTGTATTACGTGAGGAAAATCATTGGTATTAATATAGATGTTGATGGTCTCTCAAGCTCTAATAATTAAATAATGTAAAAATATACAAACGTAAAATATAACGTACATGAATGTGTCAAATATGATTTAAAAATTTTGAGTTGAAATTTGTTAGAATGGAACAATATCATTGAATTTTATATGGTATTTTAAATTCAAGTATGCATTACATTTCTAAAATCTTCTTTAAAAATTTTATACATAAAAAGAAAATATTAACGTCTTTTGCAATTGACGCATATTTAAAACATGACAATGTTTTTTTATGTTTTCACTTTTTTGTTTTGAATCATGTTGTAGCCAAGTTAATTTAGGAAGGGTATCAGTGTCCGAATAGTAAGATCAGAAATGTAAATAAAATTATACAGAATTTGAATGGTTTTAAAATATTTGATACCTAACCTAAAATTGTAAAGTTACTCAACTTCGAATAAGAATTAGAAGGCTTAGTTTTCTGGTTTCAAACTATCTGTGCTAACTGGCAAAAACATCACACAAGCTTTTTAATATATAAGTACATAGTTTGTCTCCCGACATCCAATATATATGTTAGTTTACAGCATATTTAGAAATCTATTAACAGTATTTTCAGAATTTGAAAATTTGCTTTTGTTCACTACAAGTAGTTTTAATTTTCTCAATGTTGACGGCATTTTCATGTGACATTGAGCACTAAACAACGCTATTGGCATGGTAGATGTATGTTTTGATTTATATTGAACCTCGTTCCTTCAATTGTTTAGCTTTTGATGCATTTCATAGGTTGGTTTTTTAAAGGATATGATGTACCCTCTGAAGTATTCGAACTGAAAAATAACTGCGATTCAGCTAAAATGAAAATTTGAGTTGGCAATTCTCGACTTATTCTGATAATTCCATTCTTCAGGTAGTACAGAAAAATATATTTTACAAATGACGAAAGTACCTACATTCTAACGATTTATAGAACAAGTGTAAATAGAATGCCAATCAAATGTTTGATAGCAGTTATTTAAATTTAATTTAACAAATAATATTTTTTTAGTAAATATTTTGTTATAATTTTTTTATTTATACTACATTTTGTATGTATGAAATGTCATTTACAATATATTATTATTTTATTTTTTATAATTATAGTCTGAAATTTACCTACCTTTAACACAACATGATGGTATCGTGTTTTATATCTAGATGATAATTTAAGCCTGCATTTATTTTTTTATTTATATATTTATTTTTACTATTTTGTTTTAAATGAAAAAGTACATTTTACATAATACTAAATAAAATGGAAAGCATTTTATATTATAAGTTAACAACTTCAATAGGGTGTCTGTAAAGTTCATTTTCTAAAGCTTTTTAAAAAGTTTTTTGTATATTATTTTGAATTACGATAAAAATATTTATCGCTCAAATCATTCATTGGTGCACACGTAACATTTAATTCCAAAATAACTGATTTGTAACGACCCTGGATGTGATATAGGATAAACTTAGATAAACTTCATGTCAATTTGTCATATTTAAAATTAAGTACAGAACAAAAATTAGTATTCTCTGATATTCAAAACCTTGTTATTTTATGTGTAACCTATATAAATAATAACTATTTTTCGTTTATTTTGATCAAAAGTTTGACTTATTTATCCACAAAAGAAATCATTTCCACAATTTCTTTATTATGACAACGCCATTTTTACTTATCATCGACAACAAACTACAAAATCTGTCGGAATGCAGTTTATCCAGTGTTATTAGAAATTAATACTAAATATTGACAGTTGGAATAATGTCTAAAACAACCTTGATTTGTTTTTGTAAAATATTTTTATTTAGAAAAATTTTTCGTAAATCTCTAGAATGTTGGTAACACAAATGAAAACTTTTCTGTACTACCTACTACACAAGACAACAATCAAAATAACGGAAAATCGATTAAAATTTCACAAATATAAAAAAAAAGCAAGCAAATGACCTCTATTATCTCCAATTTGTATACATTGTCCCTCTAGACTTTTTCGGGGCCAAAACACTAAAATTTGGCAAAGATGACACGGTAGATCTGAAACCCCCTCCCGTTCTCCCCGCTACTCGGCCCGCCGAGGAGGTAAGTGGGTAAGGCCAGGGGGGTGGCGCCACATTCGCCGAGAACCGGTAGGTCGACTGTGGCGCCGCCCCATGCCACCAATACCGACAACAAGTTAGGTTAAGTGGCCTATTTATAGGTTTAGTCAATAATATTTATTTTATAATCTTTTTGGAGAAGTTGGATTATTAACTAATACAACTTGTTTAAGAAAGTATATTAATTTTATTTTCTTTCTAAATAAAAACTACTCACAATTTCATTTTTCTCATTAATATTTTTTTTGGTATTATAAACGTTTTTGTTGTGTTCTCTCTTTCTATTTAATGTGCAAACATTAATTATTCAACGATCTAATATAAATTTAGTTTTGAGTAGTTTTATATTGATCATTTTCATTGACAATCTATAAAAAGCACAATCATGTGTTGATTTTATTAAAAAAATATGCAGGGTAAAAAAATTTATTGAATTACTATCCTAAATTAAATAAAAAAAAATCGTTGTTATTTTATATATTATTATTATTTAGATAAATTGTAATATAATTACCCATATATTTATGTTATCAAAACAGGCTTTCAATTTGCCTTCATTACATTATTACATTCTATTGAAATTTCGTGAACTCTTTGATTTAACAAAGAATGTCCAAAAATATCAATAAAGAACCTTGCTTATTGTTTTTTATAAAATATATTAATTAATGACATTTTATTTTGTTCAAAAAAATAATGAAAATGGTCATAGAATCCTTAATTATGGTCGTTTTACAATATTTTACTTAATGATTTTATATGTGATAAGATTACTACATATTACATATCGTAAAGCAAAATGTACACATTAGCTGTACTAATTTTTTTTCCAAGTTTTAAAGAAAACTGGATATTTGATTGACGTTACTTCTTATAAAACTGCTTCTCTAGCATTTTATTTCTGTATTTCTTCTTGCTGATTTTTATTATTTTTTTTTAATAAATGCCCCAAGTAAAGAAGCATTTACAATTATTACAATCTGATCATTAAGATCAATTAGCAATTTTATACTAACCTAACTTATCTAGGGAAGAAAAACTACACTTTAAGGTCCCTATAAAGATCAGTATTGCGGCAGTATCAGGGAGCATCGGTGATGTTCCTTAATAATTTATTCTGGAAACGCTGAATAACTTTCAACTTTACTCAAAGGTGAAAAGACATGCCCTGCGCCATTCCTGCCTAGTTTAAGTAAATTTTCTTTTCTGATTACAGTATCACTTAATGTGAGGAGAATGGAAGAATGATCTGAGTTCATGTCCCACGATTCTTCTATATGCATATAATTTGAGGCCATATTCTTGATTATAAAAATCTATGAGATCGGGAATTTTGTTCGAATCTGTGGGCCACTATGTGGGCTTTCCATATGACATCGTTTGACATTTTTGTTGATGGCATGATGCTAATAGTTCTTTCCCTTTAGTTAGTCTAGATCCCCAGTGAGTACGTTTTGAAAAGTCTCCTATCACTATGAATCTGTATCCTTGGCTATCCAGAAAGTCAAGATATTGCTGCTTCATCACTTCGTGGACTATATAAAGCTGTAATCACAATTTCATAAGTTGTTGTTTTAATATTAACAGATGTGGCCTGTATTTCTACTGTTTGGTAACCCATTTCAAAATAGTGTAAAATTGATTCCTTAATCATAACTGCATTTCCGCCTTTTTCCGCATTATAAGGATGGATTGTATGGTACACGTTATATCCTTTAAATTTGATGTACGACTGTTTTGTGAAATGTGTCTCAGCAACCAGGCAGACATCAATTTTATTCTAATTCTAGAACTGTTTGCAGCTCCTGTTGATGCTGCAGCAATCCATTTGCGTTCCATTCGAAAATTCTTCTGTTCCTGCTCCTTGAGCACGATGTTCCAAATTTGAAATACGTTCATCCATCTTGTCCAGCCTATCTAAAATTGTTTGCAGCATTACATCAATATTTTTGTATTTTGTTAAACTGGCTGTTGAATATATGTATTTTTTTTCTTCATGTTTCCTTCAGCTATTGGCTATATATTTTGTTTTCATTATCTATTTAAGTTGTTTTCTGTTATCTAGTTGAGGTAGCTAGGGCAAAATTGCCTTCTTCGTTTGCTTGTTTTTAATTCTTTGAAATTCTTTCGCTATAATGCATATGCAGTAATTAGCCGGGTGGCCTTCTCCACAATAGACACACTTTCGAGGAGCATTTTTTGGTTTAGCACACTCCGCTGTTAAATGTTTCCCTGTACATCTAACGCACCTTGGTTCCTTTGCACAATATTTTTGTGTACGTCCTGGCAAGATTTACATTGGGGAACTAGTTTAGTTTTTCTAATAGGCTGAATGGGTGTTAAATGGGGGTTAAAACCAGACATGGTATATTGGCTTTTATAACATGGTGGTGAGACCGATAATAACATACGCAGCTTTGGTGTGGTGGCCAAAGACACAGCAAAGGAAAGCAATAACGAGGCTAAGCAAGGTACAAAGACTTGCCTGCCTCGGAATAACGGGGGCAATGAAAACAACCCCCACTGCTGCAATGGAAGCACTAATAGAACTCCCACCTCTTCACTATGTGATACAAGGGAGGCAAGATTAGGTGCTTACAGATTAGGGAACATACTGGGAAATCTTGACATTAGGCCAGGTTACATGAGTATCTCAAGGTTAGTGACAGGAGACGTGCTAGACATGAGATCAGACCACATAACCAAGAGGTACTCTTTTAATACTCCATTTGGGGCTTTAATACAGGAAAGAGCGGAGATCACCATAAGGCAGCCCAATGCCCAACGACAGGAACATACCTGGTATACAGACGGGTCTAAGACTGCGGAAGGCACTGGGGCGGGAGTATTCTCCAAAAACCCTGATACTAACCATAGCTATGCTATAGGAATACATTCCTCGGTATTTCAGGCAGAGGTATACGCAATTTTGCAATATGCAAAAACGAACAATGAAAGAGCTGTCGAAAATTGACATATTCAAATAATGTCAGACAGCCAAGCGGCACTTAAGGCCATATCGAGTCAGAAAGTTACGTCGAGGCTGGTATGGGAATGCATCGAAGAACTAAGAACACTGGCAGACCGAAATAAAGTAAAACTATTTTGGGTGCCAAGTCACCAAGGGATCGAAGGCAACGAAAAGGCGGACGAACTTGCAAAAAGAGGGTTAGAAGAAACACCGGAACCAGACACAAACCCAGGAGTACCAAAAAGTACAGTCCGGGGTTTCATAAACGACTGGATTCAGGAACAAGATATCAACTATAGGGGAAGCACCCCAAAACAGGCATATGGAAAAGCCTTCATAGGCAGACCATGTCCCAAAAGAACTGGAGAACTACTCTTAATGAATAAGAACCAGTTGAAAGTGATAACAGGGTTCATGACTGGGCACGCTCCAGTAAAGGGACACTTGACCAAAATTGGCATGTACAATGGGGAACTCATGTGATGACTATGTCACAAGAAACCAGAAACGGCCAAACACATACTGTGCGAATGCGAAGCTCTAGATCGCAAAAGACAGGTTCTTTATGGACAACCCGAGGTTGATCCAACAACGTATAGAACCCACTCATCCAAGGATCTGTTCAAACTTGTACAAGGTACAAAGGTGACAAAGTGGGTGCTATGAACTAACATGGGGTAAAACACAATAAGTCAATAGGCTTCAGTGTTATTCGGAGACACATAGTCAGACGAGCCCAGGAGAAAAAAAAAATAGGCTGAATGTCAATTCTTATACCCATGATATCTTTTATACTAAATAATTTATAAACAGGTTTAAATTTATCGCTACGTACCTTCTAATTTCACACTTTATATTTCCTTTACCCACATGTTCACTAATTTCTACATGTTGTTTTCTGTATGTGCAAACTAATCATCAGATCTTATAACTTATAACGTGGTAAATTGATTTGTAAAAATATTATATCAGATAATCATATCATGGAAAAACTGACAGCAATTAAAAGTAATGTTAGGTAAAGAAGTTTTATTATAACAAGTAATAATAATTAAAATTACTGTATTTTATTACAATTTTAAAAATGAGTACAACATGTAAAACACCTATAATTAACAAAATGTGTCATTATAAAGTTATATTAATATTACGTACTAAATGCAGAAATTCTGTTCAACTTTTTTTATTTACTATAAAATCTTTCCAACTGACATGTTTACAATGACACATTTGATTTCCAATAAAATTAATATAAAATTGTCAAGTTTCGGTAGCAATCCTATTATCTCGAAAATATAAATACATTTTTTTTTTATATTCCTCGGTTGATAAATTACAACCAGAAATACTTCTAAGATTATTGGCTTTTGTGTATCTCATAAATTTTAATTTTGGCAACAGTTCAAACTATTAATAAAATCTGTTTATAAAAGACCTCAAATTGAATGTGAAAATTTAGGAAAGTGCTTAGAAATTGATAAATTTTAAGTGGATTACATGTAGGAATGCTACTGTACTTTTCGAACTAAAAAAAATATGTAAATCAAATTCATATTTAACCTTACGCAGCTCAAATGAATCATAAACTTGTAATTTATTCAGAAATTTGTCAATTACTTTTTATTCATTGTAGTTGAATAATACAAGATTCTTTATTTTTTAATAATTATATTATATGTTTTATAGATATGATGCAAGTGCCAAGTTCAGAGCTTTGCCAATAGTTTTTTTTTATTGTGGACATGTGTTAATTAATTTGTTTTTAAAATATGAATTTGGTGCAAATATTAGTGTATTACATGGTAGGAAATATTTCAAATTTCCTGCCCAATTCTAGTGGAAGCACTCGTTTTGTTTTTAAATATATTTGTTATTGAAAAACGAGTGGTTCAATTAGAATTTAAAAAAAGTGTAAAGTAATTTTTTGTTTTTCAAAAACTAGGTAAACAATGCAACTGCTAGAGTACAAACCAAAAAACCTCCAGCTTTACCAACAGGTTAGTACCTACATAATATTTCTTTAACAGAGAGCTGGGCAGCTCTTGACAGACGCCAAAAATTTAAATTTTTGTTGCCAAAAGAAATTCTTATGTCTGTAGTTGTAGATTCTGATACCTAATTGTTAATAACTTTTTATTTACGGGACTTCTGATGTGGATACAACTCTGAAACAATCTTAGATACAAACTTGGGCTAGCCATGTGTGAGTTGGTTTAATGAAAAGGTAGATAAGAAAAAGGTAATTTGGATCTCACAATATGTATTTTAATGCGACCGGTTTCGAAGTTTATAACTTCTAGCATACCTAGTAGGTAAGAAAAAAAGGAAATTAGTAAATTTCTATTGGTAGCAACATAAAATTATGATTTAGTTTAAAAATTGTTAACATTACTAATCCACTAAGAATACTAATACTTATTCATACTTACAAAAATTAACCTTATTAATGCACTACCTGTAGTCTGAATAAAAGAGGAGTGCAGTAGAAGTGGGGATATAACGTCACATTCCATAATCGTACTTTGCAAAATAAGTTTCTATAATATAAATAAGGTCACGGCATATAAAATGGTATATCCGCACTTCGTTGATTAAATTTTGAGTAAAAAAAGTTATTTTACAAAAAATAAAAAAAAAACTTAGCTTCTGACAAAATTGTTACACTTTAACATTGAACGAATTAAATTTAACCAATAAATAACAAGGAGGATTATATGTCAACTGGATTAAACTAAAATCAAAAATTAAAAAAAGAATAAAAAGTTCAAAAAGTATCTTTAAAGTATCACTATAACTACTGGTATCATTGTCTTTTTTGAGGTTTATTATTATAGGTTCTATTAAGTTTTCCATTGCTATATCCACTTTCCAAAATGATTTTTTCACCTTTTTAACATGATCAATGCATTTTCTTCAATGTTCTTCATTTACATCTGAAAGTGCATTCAAAAACAAATTTCACACATTAGGAAATTTAAATGTTGTATTGGTAGAGAAACATAACCTTTTAATTATGACCAGATCAGTTCAATTGGATTTAACTCTGCGTGGTAAGGAGGCAATCTGAGAATTTCAATTGCTTTTTCTCTAGTCATCTCGTCTATAATATATTTTTTGATTTTGTCTTTATGTTTCCTTGCTATTACGAGTAATTCAGGCATCAAGGATTTAAGAGGACTGATATTATTTTTAAAATGAAGCCATTTTGAAATATCTTTTTTCCATCTTGTTGTAGGTAGTGACTCCTTTAATCGACTGTGATAGGATGCATTATCCAAAACAATAACGGAGTTGGCTGGAATTTTTTTATAATGCTCTGAAATCAATTTTCAAACAGGGCCATCCATTTATTTATGGTAGTCTTTTATTTTTAATGACCCGAACATTATTAAACGATGTGGCAAACATCCATCGGTGATTTCAATGTGGGTTATTATTAAACGATTTCCTTTTCCTGTAGGATTTTTTAATCTACAAGGGACTCCTTTCATAAAAACTTGTTTTTTTTAGCTTTGTTGGAGGTATCTTGCCAAATTTTTGTTACTGTATGTCCAGCATTAACCCATGTTTCATTTAAATAAAATACCTGTTTATGCTAATTCCTTGCGTCCGCTATTTTCCTTAAATAATCATCTCTCTGCGCAATGATTTCGTCTTTCTCTGTTAAAAAGTTGTTTCTCTCACGTTTTTTGTAACGAAAATTTAATTCATGTAATATTTTTATATTCTTTACCCAAGTTTCAATAAAGGTCTTGTTTCTTCCTGGGAGCTTTTTCGGATGTGAGACTTCTCCAGTAACTGTATCTTCTTTAATAATGTCCGCTTAGATACTCCAGTATAGTTCTCACATTTAAACAAAGTCTTTTCGTAGATTATTAAATACAATAAGTATATTTTTTCTTCTAAAGATAATGTTTCATGTCCACTAGGTCGTGTAAGCGTACTTGTGCTTGCAATATCACTCGCCATTCTTATATAACTGTAAAATTATAATATATACTAATACAAAATTCCGAATCAATTAAAATACATACGATACGGCTATGAATAAATAAAGTCTGACTCACTTGTCAAAAGAAAAGGTTTATTACAGTAAAACTATGGAAATATGATTATTAATATTTTAATTTTAACTACAAATAAGCATTGAAGGATGAGGTATAAATAAAATATCTACCTCTTGAACCTGTGTACTATGTTCTGCAAATTAAATTACTGCACTCCTTTCTTCTCTGACTGCACTCCTTTCTTCTCTAGACTATAGATGAAGGTTAATTGAAACGATTGCTATATGTAATAAGAAAAAATGTTGAAAAAATAATCAATAGAAGAAATAGAAAAAAAACTAGAAAACAACTCACCATATTATCATATCCTCTAGGCCTAGGGCAGTGGTCGGCAAACTCTTTCGTTAAGAGAGCCAAATAGCAACACTAGTGCGACTGAAATGTCTTTTGAGAGCCAAATTTTTTAAACTTAAACTATATAGGTAGGTACATTGTTGGTAACTTAATAAGGAAACTCCTAAGCTGACCTTTGCTGAAAACGTCCTCAATCTGATTGAGGTAAGTTTGTTAAGGTTGACCTTTTCCAACTCTCTCATCTACACTCGTCTTATAAACTCCTATCGTTCATCCTCTTTATAAAGATTAGGAAAAAAATTATACGAGCCATAGGCTATAGAACTACTAGTGAACATCGTTCCACTGTATAAGGGGCGTTTATTGATATTACAATCTGATCAAAGGTTGATCAATGAGTAATTTTGTTCTAACCTAACTTAACTAAGGTTGCAATCTTAAAAACTAAAGTTCTACTCACTAATTAAATAAATACAATATTTACGTAATTCTCTGATTCTAGAATTAGGAATTATATGCAAGTGAAAAATATTAACTCGATTTTGAATTAAATCTCAATATTTTGAACCGTTAAGTTTACCATCAATGTTTTTCTCGATGTTTATTGAACATGTTCACCGATTTGCTTACAATGCTCTTCAAAGTTTTAGGTATAATGGCCTGCAATTAATAGAGACCGTATAGCTCGTATATTTTTTTCCAAACCTGTATATCCAAACCATCTCAGCATACCTTTCTAAATATTTGAAACTACATCTTCTCTCACTCCACAATTCTAGTCTTTGCTACGGGGTTACACGCTCAGAAGTAATATATTGTACGATATAAGCTGATATTTTATCTTTCTGGAAATATTTTCTCAATAAGTCGATTTAGAGTACTTACTCGTCTAAAGATAAAGACACATAAATACCAACCAAGTATCAAAAAATAGAAATAAGAAAAGCAGTCATCACAAAGTTTCAATCTCACTGTATTAGCGAGCCCGCACGTTATAGTTTTTATAAACACTGTTGTTATATACATCTGGTATTCTCGAAATGAAATTTGAAGATTCGAATTTAAGAAAACTGACTATTTTTAATACGTGGTTTTTTTATTAATTATTAAATATTAATCCTAATGCATAGGTAGGATTCCCCACTCGGCCATTCACTGTTGGGTTCTAATTAACAGTGCTGTTCCTAAAGTGGCGCTGGGAAACAGTAAAATCCTACATAAAACACGAGGCTAATAACCTTAGTAGTTGATGCCGATGACACCAAATTAAAAAAAAACCGTACACAATAACTGTTTTCATCGGAAGACATATTGCAGTTGCAATGTCATTGCAAGAGCTTTGCGTCATCTATCAGTAATAGAAACAGGATTTTATTTTAAAGGAAACTGTAAATTATCTTTTCGGCAATATATCTAAGGGTTTGGCGAAATAATCTTAGAGCATATAAGCAAATAATAAATTTCTTATTTTTTCCGTCTTCTTCTTTAGCTGTATGGGCTCAGCATTTACTAGCACTGTCTGAGAGCTACCTGGCTTACCAAGGTCTCTCATGGCTGATTTTTGTAAAATAAACATTTTTAGAAATGTATTCTGACGCCGTAACCTTATACATATTGCAAAAATGACAAATTTAAAGTTTCCTTTGAAATACAATAAGTCTGCTTCTATTTCTTGCTACGTAAACTGATTGATGGCGAAAGCTCTTGCAATGACCTAGCAACTGCAATATTTCTTCCGATGAAATCATCTATGATAATACCTGAACAAATTACTAGTAAGAAGTATATATTTCTTACCTTTATAGGTAGTATTTCTTATAAAGTGGCTAGCTTTTTTAAAGACCATTTTAAAGTTCCAATTCTATACAAAAGCTTTTTATTAGAAACAAGGATAAAATTGACATCTTAGACTTATCTGAGGTTTACAACTTAAGTTGTAACACTTGCAACTCATTCTTGTAGGTAGACTTTTTAGAAATTTCAATACATGATTGAAGGAACACACTAGATGTCTGGACCATAACCATACGGGCTTTTCCCATTTTGCCAACCATGTTAGATACAGGATATGACTTTGATTATTTGACAGAATTTAAAATTTTACACACATTCAACAGATCAACTCCTAATCGATTTGAGAACCTAGAAATAATGAGAAATCTTAAAACCTGCCCCGGGGTTTGCTTGAATGCACACATTCAATTTATATCTTCTCCGATTTTCTCCACATTACTGTGATTATTAAAATAATCGTTTCTTCGAACCTTCTAATACACAACAAATTTTATTCTTCTACCTTTCTTCTTTGACGCCGTAACTTTCGCTTGCTACTAATTACCTCTTGGTTAATTTTTTCTATTATTATTCTTATTATTCTTTTCCACAACGTGGTGTTCTAATTTTTTCCATAATATTGTCAAATATCAAATAATTCAGGTTCTGTTTCCGTTTCTTAGGATTACCAACTTTGTTTTCCTAAAATTAATATTTATTCACAATATTAATAATTTGTTCACAGGTTTTACATTAATAAAAAATTAAGTTAATACTAATAGTTTTTTTCAAATTTCATCTTATTGTTCCACATTATTTGCAATTTTTTAGGATATTTCATTAGTCAAAACATTAGGTACAGCCATCTAGTTACTACTATGTATGTATTAGTACTAGAATGTCACGAAGCTTTGGCCGAAGTATCCATCAACAATGTGGTCACCTTAAGATGGATCAAAGGTCACGCCACATCGAAAGGTAACCGTCTTGCTGATTCACTAGCCAAGAAAGCAGCAAACCAAATACTTTTTGGACCTGGTCCTTCTATTGGCCTGACAAAATCGGCAGTGACAGACCTATTCAAAGAACGTTCCCTTGTGAAATTCAAGGAAAGATGGGATGAAACAAGAAACTGCAGAGTTGCCAGGGAGCTCTTAAGTTATCCTGAGAACACTGCAGCAAACAAATACTTGACTATAACTTACATACTTTCTATAACTAGACAGAATCTGCGCCTAGTCACAGGCCTTCTGACTGGTCATTGCCAAGTACGAAAGCATCTCCATATCTGGGGGTGTCAGAATCCGCACTCTGCAGAGGGTGCGAACAAGAAGATTAGACCATCGAGCATATCCTTTACGATTGCTCGACGCTCTCATTTATTAGAAGATTTGTGTTCGGCGAGTATCGGCTAACACCGGCCGATATAAGAGAAACACCTCTTGGCGACGTTGTCAACTACATTAAATTTGTAGGCTGGCTCATGGCTAGGAGATGCCTATCATCTCAGGAGGATGCACAATGGGCCTAATGAGGCCTAAGTACAGTGGGGGTAACCCACCCTCCACACGTTACAGATACTTGTAAAATTACTCTCTACTAGAGGGCACCACATATTAAAAATAGTAGGTTTTTTTAATTCAAATTTCACTTGAGCTGGTTTAGAAACCATTTTCTCTTGCCTTATAATTATATAAAAATTTATTTAGTTAATTTGTTTAATGTTGGCTCAACAAACCGTACATTTTAAAATAATTGTTTTTATCTTGTGATTTTTTATTTTAAATTATTTTAATTCTGACGAGAATACCAGATGCATGTAACAATAGTGTTTATAAAAAAAATGTTTAGTTCGTTTATTGCCTTTATAACTATTGTAATTTGTAGTTTCATCCCCTAGTGGACAACAGAATATGATGAGTTTTTTCTATTTCTTTTATTGATTATTTTTTCAACATTTTTTCAATATTTGTTTCAATTATTTCGTTACCTTTTTTAGTACATACAGCAATCGTTTCAATTAACCTACTTCTAGTTGGTACAATATGGTTACCTTTTTTAGTATGAACAAACAAATATTAGTATTGTAAGTGGATTAGGTATGTTAATAAGTCTTAAACTAAAACATTGTTTCAAGTTGCTACCAATAGAAATTCATCAATTTTCTTTTGTCTACTAGGTGTACCAGAAGAGGAAGTTATAATCTTCGAAACCGGTCGCATTAAAATACATATTCAGAGATTCAGAGTACCTTTTTCGCTTCTACGATTTCAAACTTAGATAATAGATGTATATAAACATCAGATTACATTGAATAAATAAGTTTATAGTTGGTGATTTTGTCACGCTGTGCCTAGTAAGTTAACAGAACATCCCCATTTTACAACGTCTCTCTGGAGCTGTCTTGCCAATACAAACACCGTATAGATTTACATTGTTACAATTATATTAATTATTTTTCGTTTTTAGTCCCAGTGATACAATGGTCAGATGCGACACTACGGGCAGGCGTCGCTGCAATCCAGAGGGGCCGAGCTAGGGCAGCTTACCCCACAGCAGCAGCAGCGGCCGCAGCTGCTGCAGCATTCGCAAGACATCCTGCGCCGCTGACAGCTGGTGCGCTGCACGGGTACACTCCAGTCATAAATACGCTACCTATGGACGGAAGCATGTATTATGATCCGTTCTTGACGGCTCATGCTGCAGATCAGAATTATTCGAGATTACAGGTAGGTTTTGTAAGTTTCTGATATCTTTTTTTTTATCCAAAAGTCTAATAATTTTTCTCGTACAAGAAAAATATGGTCACTTCTACTAATAATAATATGCTAAAAGATCGGTAAAATAAATGCCTTCTATTGTTCGGAATTGTATTTGAATGATATATTGTATGTTAAAAAATTTAATCCATATCTAACAACATGAATTTATATCCAAAATATCAAGTGCTACAAATTTATGTTTCTTTAATTAATATGCCTGCCAAACTATCGATTATAAATTACAGCTTGATGTAATCTATACAGATTTCTCGAAGGCCTTTGATAAACTTAATCATACTGTGCTTCTCAAAAAACTAGACTCATATTATGGGTTTGATGCAAATCTGTTACAATTTTTCCAGTCATACCTGTCCAATCGTATACTCTGTACTAGTCATTTGAATTTTTATCATTATTTTTAAAAAATTATTTTTTTTAATAGGTGTAAGACAGGTTTATATTTAGTGTTCGCAGCGCGATAATTGCTTTATGGTTGAACTAAAAAACAAGGACACAAGTCTCGCCCAATGATATAGGCATATAGATTGCTCATCCATATATAATCAAGATGACGAAAAGTGGGTCGTACTGCAGTCGATCATATTACATTGCTGAGTGCTCACGAGACATAATCGGTGTGGCGCAAATGTGTTTTAAATTCAAATTTCATATTACCTTATTTTTACTTCTAGTAAACTTTTTTTAGGTATTTTGAAAAAGAGTTGGGTTGTAAAGTCTAGTTTCCATATAGGCAAAACATTTTAAGAGATCTAAACAATTTAGAACATATAATTAAAGAATTTCCAACATATATGTAAACAATTTTGTTTCAGAAATATAAAACATATTTGCAATAATAATAAAAGAGCTGTAAAAAACTTTAATAATAGATGCAGTGACACTAACTTTGATAAATGCATAGTTATATTTTCATACTTATTCTTTTAAAATTTATTCCGTAATTTTCAATGCAGAATTTTAAGGTTTGTTGCAATTCCTTTTGACAATTATGGATTATTTTGACTTTGAATGTAAATGATTAGATAATTCCAAAATAAAACTAATGGAATATTTACGTGACAGAATAAGTTTCCACTTGTGGGAATCTTTCTATATGTAAACTCGACATACCGATGTGACTGGGTATTGATACAAATTAAGAGTCTTAGCGTTCTAAAAATAAATTGTACCTAAATGTTATCAATCCACTTGCACTTTAAATAATGTTAAAACAATGAATTCAACTATATTCTTAGAAACAAAGGTCTTGAAGGAGTCAGCATAATAAATGATATTGGCTTTTATTGTAATAAAATTATATTACATTGTTTAATGAGTTTGTGAGATCCCGCCTTGACTATGGGTGTCTAGTTTGGTCTTCTATTTGGAGCAGTCGTTGTTTGTGACTACTGGCAAATTTGTCTATTGTATGGTCAAATATAAAGTCCCTATGAGAACAGTATTGCGGCAGTACCAGGGTGCATCGACGATGTTCCTTAATACTTTTTTCTGGAAACGTTGAATAACTTGGACGTTACTTTGACTGGATACGATACGTCCATACGGGTTTTAATATCTGCCTGTCAAGGAGTTGTTTGTTGTAAGTGGATAATTTGGAATTTTTTCCTAGCAACCAAAACATTATTTTGTATTTTATACCAATCTCTTCGCGTTTCTTTTTAATATGGACTTTCTAGCAGCGAAGTCTAGCATCAAGTGTCGTACAAAAATATTTTGCTGTATTGGCAAAAGGAATCTGAATGTTATTTTTTCTAATAGGACTATATTCATTTTATGTATTGCTGAAGTTGTTATGGATAGATTCGCCATCTTTTCGTCCAGGTGTTAATCTGGTCTACAAATTTTTTCAATTTTCTATTAGTGTCTTCGTGATTTTTTTCAACAGCAAGGATTGCAGTATCATCAGCAAATGTTGTGATAGTATTGGGCTCAAGATTAGGAATATCTCTGGCATACAACAAGTAGAATACTGAACCAAGTACACTACTTTGAGGTACTCCTGCCTTAATTTCTTAGTCGGAAATAGGCTTCTTCCCTGTTTAATTCTGAAATACCTTTCTGATAAATATGATTTTAATAGTTGAGAGTATTGACGTGGCAGATCTATGTTCAATATTTGGATTATGCCTTCTTGCCATACTTTGTCGAAAGCCTGAGCCACATCCAAAAAGACGGTGGAGTAAACTTTTTTCTTCCAGGGGACTTCTCGTTGATATCTATGAACTTGGACGATGTTCGAGTGTTTTTCTCTAAAGCCAAACTGGTTGGAGGGTATTGGGTCCTTTTCTTCTTTTATAGGATTCAATGTCTTAAGAAGCAATTTTTGATAGAGTTTCGAGATCACAGGTAACAAGGAGATGGGTCTGTACGATGTAACTTCATGGGGAAGTTCACCTGGCTTAGGTATCATAACTTCTGCCACCGTCCACATCTTTTTGGTACATACTTTAGTCTAAAGGATGCATCGATAAGATTGGTCATTTTGACTAAAACTTTCCGTGGAAGCATTTTCAAAATTTCCCCAGTAATGAGGTGAAATCCAGGGGCTTTTTTTCAGATTTATATCTGTTTGGATTTCCATATAAACTTTTTTTGGAGAGGTAGGTTTGTGTCTTCGTGTGCTAGTTCCAACCAGTCTTGAAGATATTACCATTATTGGTTTGGGAGCATCGAGATAAAGTTTTTTTAGTTCATTAGTTATTTGTTAAGGACCACAGGAGTGGTGCAGTTTGTTAGCCATTACCTTAATAGGTCGATTTTCTTTATTTTCGAAGGATTACCTTGAATAATTTTCATCACTTAAGGCCTTTTTGAGAGCTGGCTGACATTCTCAGTCCTGATAATTAGTGTACCTTTTTAGTTTTTTGTTGGTAATTTCCTTTGACCTTTGGACTGATTTGTGGGGGAGAAAGTCACAAGAAACTTTTATTTGACGAATTTTCTTCTTCAAGCATAAATAACATCCTATTCCTTAAAGTAGAAAATCGACATCCTATAAAGTGCCCTAAATCTAATCAACTCATAGAGGATGGATTAAAGCTGTCTCTGGCTTAATCTCTTCATCTGTTTTTGAGTTATCGTGGATTCAGAGGTACTAAAACGTTAAAACTCGTAGTCGAAAAAATTATGATTCATATGCTTTCATTCTGTATACAGACAGCAAAGTTACAATTATCGAGTTCTCTCACATATGGGAGTCCCGCCATGTCTTACCAATTCTCACCAAGGGGGATGGTGGGACCAAATAAAAAAAAAACAAATAAAAGTACCGAAGATATTCATTTATGTAAGTTTTAATTTAGTATTAATTTATTATTACAAAACACTTAATGTCTGTCTGTATTGTTACTTATACCTGTTAGACCCAGAGTCGGGCCTTTGAATTAGGTAATATTTATTTAATTGTATTTACAATAAATTATTTATTAATATATTATTATTAATTATAACTCAAAATTATTATAAACGCATTTACCATGTAAATACTGGTATTGATTCTTACATGAAAAACGAAATGTTAGTTTTCCTATTTCTCTAGTTATTCCGACAACCGTTACAGAGCAATAATTCACCATCTTAATTCAAAATCTTAATTCAAAAATAAAGCAAGTTTTTATATTCAAATAAATAATAAAAACGACATATAATTAAAATTAAGGAAATAATCAATTCAACGATATATAACATAATGTTGATGGAGCAGTTTCTCAATGATAACAAATCTCAGCTACACTAAATTAATCTTCTAAACCAGTTCTGTAAATGGTTTGTTTATAAATGAGCATGCACAACTGAGACAAAACATTGCTATACTAGACAAATCTTCCAATGCGACTCTCTTTTCAACGTCTTATTTACGTATGGATGATTAATCTATGTAACTATATATCATTGGTTTCGCCTATAATTTTAACCTTAGAGCGAGCATATGCTCTAAGATTTTAACCATTTTTCATTTATTTATCTATAGATCTGTTAATGTTCTAGGCAGCCGCAGCGGCAGCCGCAGCGACACCTTTACTCAAAACACCTCTCTCGTCTGCCCAGCAGGCGAGCTATGCAGCCGCGGCGACGTATACGGCGGTGGCGGCGAGGTACGGGGCGGCGGCCGCCGCCCAACCCGTTGCGGGCTATGCCGCGGTCGCGGGATACGGCAGGGACTATGCGGATCCGTATTTGGGCGCCGGAATCGGACCGATGGCTGGATATGGGGTAAGTAACTTACGTAAATTCAACTTTTACGTTAATTTTTTAAATAATAATTATCTAAGAGTTATTAATTATGATTTTTGTATTTTCAGGCCGCTGTATATCGTAGTGGTTACAACCGTTTCACGCCCTACTGAACATATCAGCAGCTCCATAAGGCCTAAACAACCTAAATACTCAAAATAACAAACAAAAAACTACTGTTAATTGTCTTGTGTACGTAGCACAATGCAGCACAAACAAAAAATTATAATTTTAATGAATTAAGGAATATAAGAGCCAAAGAGCTGACAACTCACTAACGTAAAAGCCCATGTGATAGCCCAAAAAAGCTAACCCAGCTCTCTAACGTTTAAGCATTAGTTTTTAAACAATCGAGATTTCCATTCACTTATACTCCACATTTATAATATTATTATTATTACGATTATTATTATTAAGCGGACCACTTGGTGCTTAATTGGACCACAAGATATTGACCTTTCTTATTGTAATAGCTGAATAAAAACTGAGGATTGTACATCGTCTTTGATCTGTTTGTAAATATGACAAAACAATCTATTTGATCTTTAACTGCCTTTTATCCCGGTGTTTTATTTGATTCAAATGATAATACTCATTTATATTATACTCGAATATCGCGACTTATATATAAAGCTTCTTTGAATTACTGTCGTCGAACCAGTTCCATTCGATTATCTGATAAATCATTGTCGGTAGATTTTTAGGCGCTAAATCGGAATTTGGTCGTAAAATTGCTGTATCATGTCAGGCTTTTCTGCAACATAAATATCCTGCAAAGTCTTCGGTGGTCGCAGTTAAGATAATATCACTTTCAGGCAATTTTTTAAATCCAAAAACCTTCAATCTTAATCTATATTTTTTTTTTGGACTATTAAGTAAGAATATCTCAAAATCCGGACGTGATACAGCCAGTTTTGGGTGCAAATTCTATAAAATCTACTAGGAAATAATCTACCATATTCACTGAAAAATTGTCGACCATTGTGATCTATTCATGACTTGGTTTGTATCACGGTTTGTCTACCAGACGTTATCCCAGTTCGATACCACTCGTAGTACTACGAAAAAAAAAAAAAAAGTTTCGCTGTAGGATTATCCCAACAGCGATCTGTTCTTCTGTAAAGTTCACTTTTGTTGTCTTAAATTTGGATAACGTCTGTTTAAAAGCAACAGTTTCGTGATAAACGATGTATTACACTGAAAGTTGCTTTCAGAGAATTGCTCAATTACAATTGTTTTTTAGTTTTTCGTTAGATGTAAGCTAGAAAAAGTATAGACAAATAAGGAATAACGTTCTCAGTTTTTATTTCAGCTAGTATTGTTCAGTAATCTCAAACTAGTTGATTGAGGTGATCTTTCGACAAATCTAGAATATACTATGTCACTTCTTTTGTAGCAAATAGAATAATACAAAATAGCGTACAACTCGTTAATATTAAAATAGTAGTATTAGTACTACTTTATATAACATGACAAATTCTTTATATTATTATAAAAATGATTATGACATTGAGGAAATTATTAGTTTCGGCTCCAACTTCAACTTTTAATTTTTGCCTATAATTTAACAAGCATCACATACGAAATGTTTATTTTTAAAAAAATCCACTTGTAGCATGTCCGCTTTCTCACTTAACACTTAAAATGTGAATTATTACAAGAATTATTTAAAGAATTAATAAATCACACAGTATCGAAAAGTTATCTATTAAAAACTATTTTGAAGAGCAACATTAAAATTGTTGTCGCCCAATTTTTTTTTAATACAGAAGAACATTTTTAGGCCATAGAAAACATGTTTTCAAAATGTTTTGATCAAATTTCACATTCAACTGTATTCACGATTTATATAAACTCATAAGACGAATAATTTTTAACTGACTTCAAAGAAGAAGGAGGTTCTCAATTGGTCAGAATATATATTTTTTAATGTATGATTACCTAGCGGTAATTCTTTACCACGTCCGTTTTCTATGATTATTTTTTTGAAGAAAGGATCAAGATTAGGGGAGGGCAAAATAATCGATTAGTCGACTATTTTTTTTTAAATCGATAATCACTTATTTTTGATTAATCGATTATTTACGATTAATCTTGTTTATTTTCGATTATTCCATCATTTTAGAATATTAGATTAATCGATTATTTCGTTTAATCGATTATTTCGATTGATTATTTTAAATAATTGATAATCGATTATTTATTTGTTAATTGCCCACTTCTGGTCAAGATCTGATGATGCGATCCACGAGAAAATCATCAAACTCTTGAATTTGCAAAGGTATTTGCACACATTTGAAGTAGGTTTTTTAAAATTATTTTTTTTAGATTAATTACCATCTAATATTAATTTTGATTAATCAATTGAACGAAAAAGGAACTAAGCTCTAAGTGGATTAGTTAAATGAACATCAAAAAGACATTTTAACAAAAAAAAAATCTTAAATAAGTAAAAAAAAATTAACTAGATTTTCATAATTTTGATGCCATACGAGTATATATCTTATTTTACAATCTGTTTACGTTAAACAATATTTTTTTACAAATCACAACAAATCGTACTTTTTGTAAATACACAAAAATCGTTCATCACAAATATTGAACTCTAATAATTCGTTTAGATTCAAAATAATTCTATAATTTCCAGTATAATTGTAATAAAATAGTTACTGTAATACTCAATAAAGCGAACCCGAATAGCGAAAATACTATTGAGTCACCGTCACACTATGGACATCGACGTCACCGTTTAAAACGGCTAAATTTCACATCAGTGGCGTGTACGATTAGTTGTTGATACGATTAGTAATCAAAATCGGCCAGTTCACCAGCGCGGCGATACTGACACTGTTCAAGAGCGATGTTAACAAGGCGATCGATAACAGCAGACGAGTGCGCATTGTGATGTAATGGTATCTTCCCTGTTCGGGTTTCCTATACTTATTCGTTGCAATATTGCTTTAAAGCAATACATTTTGCCTGAGAACGGTTTTAAACTAGCTTAATTGGAACAATTGCAAAGCCAAAATAACTAACCCCAAAATAAGAGAACGCATGAATTATAAAAGAATATTCGAGTTATGTGTATTATGCTTTATTTATACCATTGCAGTCACATTGTAGTTATATTACTAAGCCTACATATTAAGCAAAGAAAAAACTACAGGTTGATATCTTATAATTGGATTATGTTTATCCAAAAGGAACCAAGCGACAAATTGGCAAAAATGAGTTAAAAGCACCAAGTGACTGAGGAAGGTTTAATTTACCTTGTATAAAAAGATCAAATTACTGGCTCTACTCTAGTGCCATCGTTTGGCCAATGAACTAAACGAAACATTAGGAAACAAATTCCTAATTTCAATAACGGGAACCATCCGCTAAAAATATCTTCAAACTCATGTTCCTAGTTAGCTTATTAAACTTGTAAAATTGTGCCTATGATAAGATATTAACTATCTGACAATAGGTCACAAAGCTGGAGCTTTTAAACACATTATTTTAATACAGCATTATCATCTTTAACCTTTAATATCTCAAAACTCGAAATTGCCGCTTGGTTCTTTTTAAATAGGCATAATCCAATTATTACTTTAATTGAGTTTAATCAATTCAGATGGCTCAATGCACACTGTAGTTTATGTTTCTTTTTATTTAGGCTTAGAAACATAAATTCTACCGTTATTTTTTCTGAAGGAGACTTATATAGTTAAGACTTAAATTTCTTTAAAATAACTTGTTCTCTAGTTTGAATATTCTGCATGTGGAGATTATACTGTAATTTGTTTCTTTGCTGTAAATTTTGTTATAAACAAATTATACTGACCTGGAGAACACTTAAATGTAATTAAAGTCTAATTATGCCTAAATATTCACTGTAAAGTGTACACAGAAGTTTAACAGTAAATAAGTATATTATGTATTAACAAGAGGTAGTTTTTTCTATTCGCTGGTTCGTTATGATCTACCTCTTTTTGCGGTTTTCCCTCATGATTTTTGATGTTTAAAAGTTCTCTGATTCTAGTTTAATGTTAAAAATAATGTGCTCGTCCCAAGAATATTAATAGCGATTCACAATTATTAAAATATTTACATGAATAATGGAAATTGTTATTGGCATCTATAAAATAAATTTCTTCGCCAATGTAACACGTTCACTTCGGTTGGCTCCGCGGCAAAACTGCGAAATCTTGTGTATCAAGTACGAGAACTGCAAAAGCACTGTTTAACTTGTCTACATTCTAGTTTATGTTTCTCTTTGGGCGTTGCAAATATTGTATTTGAGAATACTGTTATATTTTTATATTGCACCGTGTTTCATAAATCTGAAAATTATATTTTTAATGTACATAGTTTAAAAAAGGTTGGACTTAAAATTTAAAATTGGTTTTATTATATGACTGGATTTTGCAAATTGTTATTCTTTTAAGCTTAGTTTGAAACACTGTTCGAGGAATGGTCAGTAATTTTTGTACTGCAGTGTAGAATTACGTTTTTTTAGACATATAAACAAAGACATTGATATTATAATTATTAAAATAAATTTAGTTTATAGTTTTCTTAGTTGTTAAGATACATTTACACTCTGACTGGTAGACATAAAGTTTTATGTAAAATATTTTCTATAAAATAATGTGAAGGGTATAAGTGCAACGGAAACGAAAAATATTTCCTTCGTGTTTATTGTAATTTTGTTTTGATGATTATTATTATCTATTTTGATACTCTTAATTTTAGGTGGACGGTTGAAGTCCGCATTACATATCGACTATACAGTTAGCTCTCTAGATATGTACAGTTCTTTTTTTGTCAGTGATTCGTTTACATTTTCGTGTAAAGTTGAAGGATGTATTTTCTCGCCTCCTTATTATTTTGTTGTAATAATTATTATTCTGCTCTCGGTGTATACTATTTTTTGATTTGCGTTTTTTGATACATACCTGTTGGAAAACTGTCGAACTTTGATACGATTTTCGGGAACTTTCAAAAAAGAAACTTTTATTTTTATTGGCCTTTATCATCTTGATATTTAGCTATTCCTAGTTTTTTTTTCAAAAGAAATTTACCCAATGGTTGGACAATTTGTGCGTATGATGATACATTAATGTGACATGATTTTTGTGCCAATCAAAGACAAACCATTCTGTCGTTGATTTTGACATATTCGTTTTTTTAATGAATAAATTGAAAATAATGGAAATACATGTAAATTGACCTAACCTCTAATTTTAGTTGTACTAAATGTTTGAACTTTACTCATATATAAATATTTTAGAAAATTTTAAGCTATTAAATAATTGGAAATTTTTTAATAGTTATTTTTGTAAATAATAGTTAAAATAAAATGTAATTTAGTAAACAAAATGCATTCAAACAACTAAGAATACTGTCACTGTCAACTTTGCTTGTCACGCATATTACATCTTCACTAATGCAGTGTATTAGCTAATTGTCCACTTTAGAATTCTAACAAGACTTTAAAGACATTCAATTAGGTTAAGGGAGTATAGTAAAATATCTGTTTTTACAAGTAAGATACGATATTTTTCACATAAAAATGCCTACAGATACGTTTTAAACATTAATAATAAATAATAGTTTATACTATACAACACCAATATAGATTCAAGTTGAAATAATGATAGTGTTTGCCACATAAAAAGTGTACTGAACAAAATGTGCAATGAACAAATAATATAAAATACCTCCCCTATTTATTATTTAATAAGTCTAATAGTTTCGCAACAGGTATGCTTATATTATACTTATTTTTTTAATTGAATCTTTCCGACACTATTTTATTTTAGATCTATATGATTTTTATGTTGTAAATGATTATTTTTTATTTTTTTGAAAATACATCCCACCGATTGAAGCCAATTTTTCTCTAGTCGCTGTATATATCCCATACACGTACAAATCATCCCATCTATTGGTTCTTCTATTGGTTGTGTTTAATTTTTTTACATTGTTGTGGATGGTATGTAGTTACTTCGGAGTGGACAGGTGACACCCAAGCGTTTTTAGTTTTACAAGAAGGACCAAAACCGTATAAAACAAAGTTTAAAAATATCTGTATCCATAAACTTTATTTTTTAATATTCAGTCAAAATACTAATAATTGAGATTGAAACAATCAGTTTTATGTTATGTTATACTTATTTTAAATACAACGGCATTATCTTTAAATGTATAAAGTAATTGTCACATAAAACAATTTGTTTTTAAGTAATATTCAAAATTCCTTAAACTCGTTAAATTAAAATGAGAATATCAAGTTTTATTAAAAATTACAATAATTTCACATGTCAATCCAAATGTCAAATGTCAATCCAACCGTCACTTTCAAATTGTCTTTAGTGAATAATAGTGGGATATTTGAATATTCAGAAAATATTTCTAAAAATGTTGTAACTGTATTTTTTTTATAAGTTTTGAATAAGAAATTCGATATATCTAATTAAATTATCAAAATCTCCAGTAACACGATAAATAAGATTATGGAAGATGAGATGTTATTTTGCGAGAAAAATTTTTCGTGTACAATTAAAAATGCTTGTGTAACGTTTGTTCTACATCAAGAAGACAACTAGGTATTGTGTACCACACCAATTTGCAATTTCTACATTGTATACAGAATCAATTTGGATTTTTTTTATATAATTAAGTGAAAACGTGATTAAGCACAAAATATAACGTTACATCTACTTTTTTTGTTATTTTTGTTTAACAGTTTATTTCAAGTTAACACTTTTCCTTTCAGGTGATATGAGTGGTGATTGTGTATGTGACAAGTATAATTAAATAAAGAAAACTAATAAGGCAAATGGAGTTTGATTAATTTAAATAATAATAATACAATGCATTATAAAGTTGATGTATTTTTTCCAATTTTATATTAAGATGAAACAAATTTATAATAGTCAAGTAACTATAAATAATTACCTCTCCTACTCTCCAATAAACGGTCACAAGGTATTATTAGTAACCTCAAAGTGCAAATTAATACTATACGACGAGCACAAACCTTACAAATCTAGAAATCATTCTAGATACTGTTAAGAGTGAGATTATAGGCCCTTTTGACTGACCCTTAAGCCCACTCTTAGCGGTAACCACGAGTTGTATAGAGGGGCCCAATTTGTGTTAAAATTGGCCTCTAGGCAACACACAGCTGGGGGGTTAAGTTCAGATGGAACCCTAACTTCCTGACGATGATTCAGAGGACGGGGAAAGGGTTTGCCCTTTGGCAGTATCCCTCTCAGAGATCGAATTAAGCCAATACCCCCGCCTCTGAATGATCGTAAGTTTTCCTAAATCAAAGAAAATTGAAACAAGCGTAAAATAAATAACTGGTTTATTTAACAAATAAAGACAATTTATATTGCTTCCGCAATCACGTAGTCTGCTGACTACACAATAATAAGATATAACTACTTAAAACTAGTTGCTTACATAAGCATTGTTGGGCTGCAAGGCTGGTGGAAGCAAACGTTACTTTTATCACTATGGTTTTTACTAAACACACTAATCGCGACCCGTGACTATTTTTTGGACACAAAAAAGGAATATACTTTATTCAAATAATCTCGACTGCTCGTCAACGCAGCCCAAAAGGAACTCCCCGAATATTCCCTTGAAATGTCCCATACTGCCGTTATAGATAAGAAAATGTATTTTGAAATTGAATAATTAACGTAATTTATCCACATTATTGATATTATCGGTGACGCTATTCAAACTAACGAATTTGAAATTATTACATTTACCAGGAAAACAATCCTGCTCAATTTGGTTTGATTGAACCCAATAGCAATATTACACTATAGGTGTCCTTGACGACAATTGTGGTTGAATCTGTGCTTCGCTATTATGTAACGCACCGTATTGTGTTTTTTTACCACATACTCTACACCCTCCAGAATTGCACCGGAATTTAAAATGTCCTGCTTAAAAATTCTATTTCCATTAGGACCAATATTGCAGTTTTTTTATAGGCGGGTGGTAATTTGTAATTTTTACAAAATAAAAAATAAACTAAATATAATTACAGAAAAATGGTAAAGTATTCCAAAAGTTTCAAACATAAACCGGCCTATATTCACATGGATTTGAAGGATAGAAAAAAAAACATTATTATATACAACCTATTTATTGCATATCACATTAATATAAAAAATATAAATACAACTTAAGGAGTAAAAATTGCTTATTTTTTTTTAATTACGTCTAAACAAGTTGAGCTAGCATACTTAAGTCTTATTTTAGACGGTAACATTCAAAAGAACATTACCAAATAGTTTAAGGCACTATATACAAAAGACTTATTTACAAAAAATAATATCAAAAATAGAAAGAAACATAAAAAACAGACGCGCTGTGAGTATTAATGAGTATTTAGATTCATAGAATTCCAGTATTTTTGAGAGTATTTTCAATACGAATAAAATATTCACTGGTAAAAACTTTCTGTTAAATATGGAGATTTGGTAAAACTTCAACCCTTTTTGCGAGTTCAGTGTAAAAACATAATACAATAATACGAAAGGCACAACTTCGTAGTAGTACTCGTTAATGATGGGAGAGATATTGAATCATATCTCTTTGTTTCTCTCGTATTATTTATTTATTTTGTGCTCTTTGTGAACTGCAGATCTAAGTTGAATTTTTATCGAACCTGTATTATTAAAAATTGATCAACACATTTTCTAAGGTTTTAAACAGGAATTTCTTCTAATTTTATTTACGTTTTGACATATTTAGTAAGTACCTTTAATATAGGTAATACTAATTCAATATTACTTCATTTAGTTCTATGAATATTATATAAATACAAATAAAAAACGCATAATAAAATCGACAATTTAATTGTTTTTTTCATTTATATCTGATACGTCTTATCACGTTACTTTCTTAAAGTTAGATCCCAGTGAAAAAAAAATGAATTTTGTACTTTTCATCAAATATATCCAAAATGATCAATTTTAGGGACATCATGTATGTAATAAAATTTATAGATAATGACATGAAAAACTGTTATCAGAAGAATGTTTTTTTCCAATCATAAATAACAGTAACTAACAAAAAGTAAAAATGACCCCCTATAACGAAATTGAACCGGATAGTTAGGGATCTATTGTGCTAACAAAAAACATCACTCGCTTACGTATATCCGGACATTTTTAAAAACATGGAAACTCCAAAACGTGAAGATCTCAATTAAAAATGTCACAATATGAGAAATTAGTAACTATCAAAGCAATTAAGCTCTGAGAAAAATGCAATTTATTTAAACTGTCTTAGAAAAATAAGAGTAGGGGCCTGGTAGGAGAATCTCCGATTATCTTGTTAGTCTTGAAACAGGAACTAAAAGTAATATAATAACGTTTGACAGAAAGTTATTTTGAACGAGATAAGTATTAAAATCTACTAAATATGTCAAAAAAGAAAATGTAAGTAGAATGTGTTGCAAATAATATAAAAATACTTTTTTTTTAATTTCTTAATGATCACACTGTATATACTATGCAGTATAGTAATAAATTTCTTCATAGAGGAAGTATAGTTTACAGTAAAATTTTTTGTTTTCGAAAATAATTTTTTTTTTCTCCTATACTGAATAATTGTCAGTCAAATAAACATAAATTAAACTATGAAATATCTACAAAGATAAAAGGACCGATAAAGAAAAAATAATGACAAGTTTTCAATAAATAATTGTTAAATTTTATATAATTCAGTACTCTTTGTCTCAATTTCATCGATACATGGAAAAAAGTTCAGTCATTTTTTCCATGTATCTTTGAATCCCTAAAAATGACAGCTTTAATTGTCAAAATAGACATTTAGGGACTTTAGCAGAGCTGGAATGACGATACACAAAAAGCTTTTAGGTCCATAATTATAAACAAATTCGTAAATGTATTTTACATTTTCGCATTTGCAACTGCCCATCTTTATATTTCAGCGCAACCTTAGAACCATCTGAAACTCTAGAGCAGTTATGACTGAACTTCGATTTTCGTTCAAGGACGAATTTACTCAAGTTCGATTTATAAATATGGACCATTCAGCGTTCATGTTTTATAATGCTTAATTATCATCCCATCCCTTCTGGTATCACTTTTGTTCATCACATCCTGCTGTTGTTACCCATCCAACTGGCGTTACTGCTTCTGGTATGCATCGGTAGAGAATTCCTGCTTCCGTATATTTCCTCTTCCACGAATGCTTTGTTCACGTGTCCATTTTCGAAGATCTCTTTAGCAGGTATACTACTCGCCACGCTGCTTCTGTGAGTCCTTTGAACATTATTATTGGTAGTAGCATTGAACTCGTTTTTAGCTCCTAGGGTTTGCATGTGTGATTTTCTTCTTTCGGCCATTACGGAATTTATTCTGACTTCTAGAGCCTTCATCGTTTCCTGCCGCATTGTCATTCTTCTGTTTAGGACCGGTGTACCTAAAAAATACAAAAATATTAGTTAAAAATATTAGTTAAATTGAGTATGTTGGTGAAAATTTAGATTCACGAATTAATTAGTTTATTGAGCATTGCTTACCTGCGCCTGGGTTGGCGTTGAGTTTGGCGAATCTCTTCTTGAAAGCGACATCTAGAGTTCCTATTTGTCGTTTCTTTTGGGCAGCCTTTTCGATATTGTGTATGGTCTTCCTTCTACCGATTCTGTCTGGTCCAGATCCAGAATCATTGTCGTAATCACCGTCAATACCTTGTAATCGCTGTAGCTGTTTGACGATCTCCACTGCTTGTTTATCCAACAAGGCGTTGGGAGACATTTCTTCTTTCTGAAGAACAAAATTGTGCTATAGAATGAACTGGGATAGTATGACGTATTTATATACAAAGTAACCATGACAACGGCTGTGTTAAAGCTGTCATTGTCAAGAGTTTAAATGTAGTTAGTTTGTGCTTTGTTTATCTTGAATTTATCTTAAATTATCCTATAATTCGTTATATTCCTTTTATAGTAGGTATACTAATGTTAGCTCTTTTTGTTTTTTTTTTTTTTAGCAAAGAGTTAACTTACCTTTGACTATATTTCCTTGCAAGTTTAAAATGTTGACAAATGGAAAATTAATAAAATAAAATACTACTTACTTTCTTTGTACACGACCAGTTGAGTTCTGTGGACGCCAATATATGAGCTAGCGTTCCAAATCTATGGAACAACATAGCAACAAATTGGATAACGATAATCAGGGCAAAGAAGAATACGAAAACCAATCCAATGGGTTCAAGCTGTAGATATTCTTTTGAAATGTGCACCTAAAAATTAATAACTATTAAGTTATGTGTATATTAGAAAATTCATTGTAAACTCAATTATTTTAAAAATGTATTGTAGAAATTAGTTTATATTTATAATATTTTAAAATAGTAATTTTAAAATAATTGAGTTTCTATAACTTAAAACAGTCACTTAACATGCATATTTCACAAAAATCACTTAATTTTATTTAGAATAAATATATACATTTTCATTTTACTGGGAAACTTTTCCCTAATTATATACAGGGTACAGTTAGATTCTTGTCTTTTGTTTGATACTATAAATACCCACTCCTGCTCATAAATTGGTTTTGAGCTGTCTGCAGGCAATTTATGAATGTGTGAGGTTCTTATTACCACATCTGATGGCATTCCTATTATTTATTTATAATAGCTTGTAGACTGGATATTGGCCTTTTCTGCAGTTTGTATGTAACCACCCTAGATTCAATTTTTATTCCAAAACTCCAACATATGTTTCAGGTAATTGTTTTTTTCAGTGAAGTGGATGTTCTATGTTAACTGATGGTTCAAAAGTAATTTACCTCTTGGAATAATGGAATCACTACATCCTTTTTTGTATTCAGTCCAATTTTGCAGCCCTCTACGTAAATGTATAAGTAATTTATTTTTTAAGTGATTTTTGTTCATATGAAATACATATATTTAGTAAGTAATACATATTATTCACAAATAGAAAGAAACAGGAAAAGAGGAAACCAATGTGGTTCAGGAGTTACAATATACCTCGTGAATTTATTCGTTTGGTATTTATTTATATTATTTACGACATTCCGGCACATTTTAATATAATTAGCACGCATTTTTAAATTTCAGATTAACAAATAAATGATTCGATGAATAATGAAAGGAGATTGAAATCTATGATTATGAATCTATTAAGCTAGAATCTTAGAGGATGAAAGCAATCATTTTTTAAAACAAAGCTTGGAATGTATAAAGTATAGCTAAAGAAAATAGCAGGATGATAAAATAATGATCAAGTTGTATTTGAATTAAATAATTGAAAATAATGCCACACAAATACTGAAACTAGTATATTTGTTTATATATTGCAAAAGCACTAGAAAAAAATAGATATTGGTAAATTCACTTTTTCAGAATAGCTAATGACACACAGAATGTACCTAATGTTCAGATTGTCACATTCAAAAGCTATTTTAAAGATATTACGGCAAATTATGGAGTGCCTCAGGGGCCTCACTTGCGGGTCTTACTCTTTAACTTGTCTTTAAAGGATATCATCAATGGTTTTAACCATAGTGAGTTTTTCTATTACGTACAAACTCAATTTGTTCGACACAGTTTCTGTTAAGAATGACTGCGAATGAGATGAAACAAATAGCAAAGATGAATAACTAAGAGCAGAAAATTTAAGTTAATCAAATAGGTAAGAGATCTAGGTTAACTCGTTCGCAATGGTACGGGGCAAATATATAAGGTTTCTCTTAAGAATCGCAGCTAAAATTACCCCAGGTACGGTAGTAGTAGTTTCCTTATTTTATCAATATTTTTTTATGAATTGAGCCATTTTGACAATAATCTAGTATGGGGCATATATGACCTGTACCGTCTTAGACTTATATCTGCAACATATTTACGCATAGTGACACGATGCGATATTGTCTCAACTCAGTGGCTGCTTCTACCATGTTTCTTTCCTTGTTTCATCCGACAATAGTTCTGTCCTATCATGCAGTAGTAGGTGTAAGGGAGTGTACTTGTCTGATTTTTTACCAGTTTTCTGGTATTGTATTGATGTCGCTGACACTTTGTCAAGAGACTCAAGGCCTTACAAATAAAAGTTGTTTTGCTATTATACAATCTAGTCTTGTAAGGCTTCAGTATGGTCGAGTTATTAGTTTGCACTTGTTCCACTAGATGTCACATCCTATAGCGTTGAATCACAAAGTGATATAAAGTTTACAAACAAAATAAGACTTATTCTGAAAAAGTGCTACCATTTTTTATTAATTTGATTTTACTATCAGCGATAAGTTAAGCAGGTATATTTATAGGAATGACTATGTATGAAAGAAGAAAACCAGGAAAAATGGGTATACAGAAATGGATGTTAGTAAGTATGCAATGAAATGTGCGTTAGAATATTATATAAAAATGCTCGATTTTATTTGTTAATAAGTATCTTTGTGACCTTCACAATCTTAGTGAAAATGTACAACGTGCTTGATAGTTTTAATATTGCCTTTCCAAAATTTTAGTGGGTAGAGTTTTGAATGTGTGGACATGTGATATGTGATGATATTTTGAAAATTTGAAAGATTTGTTGCTTATTATGTGTTGTAGACTCTATAGTTATGTAATATCAAATTGCAAAAGAGAAAAGTGTATTAATCACAAGTGTCCAGTAATATGTTTTTGTTACTTGGCTTTAGTCCATCACTTAACATATATAAAGAAAAAATTAATTTACAAAAAATATTGTGGTAAAACGTATTTATCAAAAATTAATAACCAACTAGGTTTTGTTATAAAATAGTTATGGCCGCTAGATTTATCCGAAATTACAAGATTAAAACTTTTTGTCTTCGGATTTATCAAAAAAGTAAAACAAAAATGCACTGCATTTATGCAACTTGTAATACAAATACGTCACTGGAGTAATAAAATCAAAATTCTGTAATTTTTGTGAACTTTCACTCTCGTATTTTTTGTGTTATGGTCAAAAGATGTGTTTTGTGTTTCAATTTTAAAGAAATTTGTATGCTATCCTTTTAAACCAGTGACGTTACAAGTGAAATAGCGAAGGAACTTTACAATTTTGGAAAATTGACTTTTATATTCTTTGTAAAACTCGAACAAAGCAATGGAAATGAAAAAAATAAGTGCAATAGTTTTCGTCTATTTTAAGGCAAAATTAAAAAAAAACATTATTCGTTTTTATTCCCAATTGTTTTATTATTGAGTTCAAAAAGTATTAATTACCAGAATATATCTCTTTAAGTATTTTTAAGTGATTCAAAATAACAAAAACGTCGATGGGCTAAAGCCGCTGTTAACACAGAAAACAAAACGGTAGGTGGTAAGTCCCATGCCTAAAGAGACTTATTAGTATCCAAGTCCAAAAGGCTCACATTAAAGACCATTTAAATACCTCTGAGGTTTCCTCAACAAATGTAATATTAGTTCGAACTCCTAAAGGCCACTTAACGTGGATCTGATCCTTATTGAGTTGAAGCAGAAACACGCCTAATACGAATAAAGCATTAAACATGAGGAAAGCAAACACTGACTTGTTCCTCAGTTCGATTAAGTCTTTTGCTATCCGTTCCTGTAAAAATTCAATAAGCATTAAATCGTGTTCTTCGGTGGGTCACATGGTCCTTTTCTGGTAACGGTTGGGAAGATATGATAGTAGGTAACGAATATGATTATTTTTACCAAAAAAATACCATGATCCCCATTCTAATTACCTCTTGTGTTGATTCGTCGTAAGTGATATTAGTTCGCACTCCGAATGGCCACTTGATATGGAGGTAGTCTTTTTTCAGGGTCAGCAAAAATACAATTAAAACAAATAGAGCGTTCAGCATAAAAAAAGCGAACACCGATTGGTCTCTTAATTCCTTCAGATCTGCTGCTATTCGGTCCTATAATATTTTGCAAATAATCGTTAAAAACAAAACAAATATGAGCATTACGGAAGCAATTATAAGGCATGTATTTAAAGTAAGGTCTCAAAAGACGCCATGTTGTGGCTCGCAAAGTTAGGCGAAAGCTGGCAACACTGTCGTGTACGTTAGTTGCCCTCTATAAAATAGTACATGGCAGAACTCTGTGGAATCATGGAATCATCAATGTTGACGTAGCAGCCGTTTGAGATGGAGATTCCTGTTGTTGCTTCTGCCAAGTGCGAGTTATGGTCGGTCATTAAATTTTTACACGCAAAAAGATTCCTCCCATAGAAATTCATCGTCAATTGGAAGAAGTTAATGGTGAGAAGTGTATGGATGTGAAAAATGTTCGAAAATGATGTAGAATATTTTCAGCTGGCCGCCTAAACGTCCACGATGAAGAGTGAAGCAGTAGGCCGTCGCACACGGACGAAACAGTACAGAAAGTTGAGGCGCTTGTGCTGGAAGATCGCAGATTGACCCTTGATGAGCTCAAGGATTATGCAGTTGGGACTCCATATACTCAATTTTGATGAATAATCTGCAATTGTCAGCCAGATAGTCCCAAAAATGCTCACAAAGTGAAGCGCGTCCTGTGTGCCCAAGAATTTCTCGCCAGTTTTGAAGAAGAAATGGGGCGGAATTTCTTGATTCAATAGTCACAGGAGATCAAACATAAGTCCATTATTACAGTCCTGAGACGAAGGAGCAATAGCAACAATGGCGACACATGCATTCACCGAAAGTCAAAAAGTTCAAACAAGAAAAATCGACTGACAAGGTTATGGCCACTGTTTTTTGGGACAGAAAGGGTGTATTGCTGGTCGGTTTCACGCCCCGCGGAACAACCATGAACTCCGATCGGTATTGCGAGACTCTGATAAAACTTCGAATAGCTATCCAAAACAAACGAAGAGGGATGCTGACCAAAGGAGTCCGCCTTCATCACGACAACGCGCGTCCACATATGGTCAACAAGACTTATTGCAGAATTCGATTGTGTTTCCTGCTCTAAAAAACATCTGGGAGGAATGAAATTTGCGAGCAACGAAGAGGTGCATGAAGCGGTCGTCTCCTTCCTGCGCGAGGCGGCGGGATCTTGGTTCGAAGAGGTGATACAAAAGTCTGTGGTTAGAAAGTGAAAGATCATCGAAAAAAATGGCGAATACATTGAAAAATAGCTTAGATTTTAGGCTTTCGAATGATTTAACATACTTTACTATAAAAAAATTAGAGACCTTACTCTAAATACACGCCTCGTATATTTTTTCTACAGAGTCGTTAATCTAACTGTGTTATATTTTATTGCAATAAAATATCAAAATAACAGAAAACGAGTAAGTAGCTTTTGTATTAAACCAGTCATTTGAATTGACTTTGCAAAATATACTTGAAAAAATCTTATTAAATCCATCTGTCAAATTCTAATTGATTTCTGTCAAATTCTATTTGAATATATGTGTCAAAGTCTACTTGAATCCATCTGTCAAATTCTACATTAATCTGTGTCAAAGTATACTTAATTAAATCTATATCTATCAATTATACTTGAATGTATTTGTCAAATTCTGTTTTTGAATCTATGTGACAAAGTCATCTAGTTGACAACCCTTGGTGTATTTCTGGAGCTGACGAGTTAATTTAATTTTAATAAATGATTACTTTGTATAGCAGCTTTGAAACATTGAGGCACATCATTTAGCTTTATTAAGAACTCGCTTTCGTTAAATGTTATAATTGATAAAATGCAAATAGGGTTTTCGTTTTTAAAATATCTATAAGTATTGTTTTAATGAAATTTGAGAAGTATTTTGATATTTTTTCTATTACTAAGAACGAGAGCACATAACACAACTTTGGAGCTCAAAAACAGGACACTAGTCTCCTCCAATTACCCTTAACCTTTAAGGTACACAATTGATTAGAAGAATTTTTAAAATTAATTTCGAAATCAAGATATACCAATAACATATCAAAATGGCGCCCAACGTGGGGCTCGAACCAATGATCCTATTAGGAGTAGGTAATAAAATTACAGGATTACAGAACTGTAAAATACAGTTTACAGGATTGTAAAATACTTATTACAGGGTTGTAAAATACATTTTATCTACGACCCCATTTTAAAAGTTAAAAATTTTAATAAATTTTCCAAAAAACAGTTGTTAACAAAAAAGATGTTTTAACTTATTCATTCAAAAATCAGCACCCTTAGTAAATTGAGAGAATCGAAACAAATATGTACATATCATATTTTGGTACTATAAAGTACTGGGTATTGTTGATATATTCTATTACCTCGACAATTTAGATTCGCCATGTGTATATTTTGTTTGATTTTTATTTTATAAAGAAAAATATTCGTGCAAAACATATTGAATGATATTCGCGCTTGAAGGACCTTTCGAAAAGTATAGCAAGATTTAATAATTAAGATTTAAAGGGGAGATCAACTCTCTTAATTTAAAGAATCCTTGAAGTCACTAAACATGTTCTCATTCTTAGCAAAATAATTATCAAAATTCGACTCAATTTATACCTACATTAGAACAACTTGAACATTACTAAAAAAATATATCAAAATGTTCAGCACAATAAAATTCGTTACATACCTTCTCCTCTTTGTTTTCGTCAAGTGGATACAAATACTTTTCTAGCAAATCTCTCCAGAATTGTAATTCGTGGCTATTCAAATATTCGACCTCCCCTTTTCCTACGTCTGGATCTTCAATCCAATATGGATTGACCAACTCGTCGCGTTTGTTCTTTGGCGTTAACGATGCTGTATCGTCATCTGAATCATCAGTGGAATCTTCTGCTTCTTCATTGACAGGTTTCAGATGGTCGCCATGACGGGAGGATGATGACATGCTTCGCTTCCTCGAATGATGTCCAGATGGGTCTATTACCCTGAAAAAATTAATTAAACACCTTTCTTTATCGTTCGAAAGTACATCATTGCTCAATAACATTATAAAAATATCGTCCAATATCAAAATAAATTTAAAAATATATTTACTCACCTCTCAATATGATCCAATCTCTTGCCCAAACTATCCAATGAATCGCCGATGTGAATGAGTTGGGCCTTTTCGTCGCCAGCTTTTTGATGAGTACACAACATACACCTGAAGAGTCCCGCTAAAGATATTTCTATGCTTCCTTCATCGTCGTTATTTTCACCGCCGTTTTGGAGAAATCCTAGCAACGATTTTTGCTTGGCCTTCTTCTTAGCTTCTTCGGCTTGCTTTCGTTCTTCCTCGAGTTCCTGGAAATTTTATAAAAAAAATATAAATAGACTCTAGTAAAGTAAAATAGGTTATAACTACCTTTTTGGTCTTCTTCACAGCCACTTCTCTGGTACCCCACGAAACGTTGTTGAGATTGATGATGGAGTAGAGGATCAGTAGCAAGTACATAGATGGAATGGACAGTAAATAAATGATTCCTGGAACTATGCACCAGAATTCTTGCGGATGTAAAATGGCGGCTATCATAAATGACCCCGTCATCGCAATCAGAAATATAGCTGATGGAGATCCAATACCGTCCTCTCTTAATTGTAGGGCAGTACCTACTATCACAGCCATCATAATTAAAGCGTAGCCCGTGGACAGAATTTGTGCGACGATCAACTGAAACAGTTCATTGATTTTAAATTCTTAGACAGTCAGACGGTTTTTCAAAAACAGTAAAAAAAACCAATGAAATGATAGTTGGAATGTTTATGAGACTTTTTGCTACGTTTATCCACTACTGTGCTGACGTTATGAAAGGCCATTTGAAAAATATGTCTGCTGTGATCTAGTGGTTAAGATATTGGTATTCTACGGTATAGTAGGGGTTGTGGGTTTGATCCCTACCGGACACGAAAGGGTCTAATTGTCATATTATAACTGCAAATTTCACCACTATTTTTAAGACAATTGTATGCTTTAAATTCTAAACAATACCATTATATTATACTCTCGTTTCAATAATAGAAATCTTATTCGGTAAAATGTAGACTGTATTTATCGAGAAAGTAAAAAATGGGAAACAATGAACTAAAAATAAACATGGGTAAAATGTAGGTAGTATTTATTGACAGAATAAAAATATGCTAAACAATAGAATTAAAAATAATACTTATTACGAACAATTTCCAATTTGATATTTGCATACTTACTGTAATTATTATTCTCTCGAATATAATTATTAGCAATTCAAATGTTTATTTTTTTTTTGTATTTATTTTACATATAACCGTAATTTCATAGATAGATGTATTGTTAGATTTGTTACGGTTAATTTCTTGATTGGTTTTTCAAGGTAAATAAATAGTTGTATGTTATTTAGAAAGGATATTAGAACTAATGTTACTCACTATTAATATTATAGAAAATACACAGTAAATTTATTCGAAACAAATAATGTGAATAAACTTTAAAACTTTAAAACCAGTAAATGTAGAACACGAAACATAACTATTATTAAATTTTGTAAAGATTTAGCATCCTAAAATTTATATTTAGCACACATTTATTATATTTAGCCCTAACAATCGCTATCTTATTCCTGTCAATTTATTCATTGAATTCCTTTATGCTTTTGTAGATTAATTTGCATTCTTGCGTAAAATTATCTTTTCTTTTTATTATACAGGGTGTTTCATGCATGTTTTTTAGTATGACATAAAATTTTATTAAAAAAAAAATTTTTTTCAAGTAACTTTTTCATAAACTCAAAAAAGATATATACGATTTATTAACAAAAAATACATTAAAAGAATTTTTTTAGCAGCTTAATCCGTTGAGAAAGGCAGCATCAAGTTTCGAATAATACGGGAAGTTCTGTTTCAAATTGCAAAAAAGTGTCAAAAAAACTCATGGGATGTTGAAGTTCGTCGTGTATGGTGATAATGCTGTAACTGAAGACTTTACAAGTAGTATAAGCGATTTAAAAGCGAAAATGAGACAGTAGAACACTACCATTAACCTCAAAAACAGAAGAAAACGTGCAAAATATGTCAAAAATTGTTCGATTAATTATTCGAGGGATTACCGAAGAACTTACCATCTCATGCAAAGCATTTTAACCGATAATTTACAAATGAGACAAGTGTGTGCAACATTTGTTCCCAGACTTTTGAGTTATGAACAGAAGGAAAATCGTGTTGTTGGGTCTATGGATATGTAAACTTATTACTTTGTTTCTAATTAAATTATTCACCGTACATTTTGATCACTCCTCGTATATGACGATTTTATGTTTTAAGTACGAATCTGTTACGTCTCAAAATAATATTTCTCGGCACTATAAAAATCACACAGATTCTAAAAAAGTGCCATTGAACTTTTTTCCTAGATTAGTCAGATACTTTAAAAAAATTAATTGAACAAATTTTAGTTTAGTGCTTCTGTTTTTAAGTAATCTAAAATCTCTATTTTGCAGTGCTTTTTAACACTTTGTTCTACTTTTTGGGAAAATGGGAATAGAATAAGTAACGAAGAAATTAGAGCAATGATCAAACAAGAACCAATAATGTACAAAAAGACAAATTAAATGTTGAGGATGAACCCAAACCGAATATCGGGCACGGTGGTGTAGCGGTCTATCGCGCTTATATTCATTTATAGGCAAGTTTATGAGTCTGAGACTGCTGGGTTTCGAATCCCAGACCAGACCATGTGGATTTTTAATTAAATTGCATGGTTCGGTTTAGGATTTGATGTGTGGCGTATTAATAGAAATTCAATTTCTGTTGATATGACATGCAGATTAAAAAAATTCGCCATACATTACCGTCTCGATGATGGTGGGTGAGGTTTTCCGGGTTTTCCTCACCTGTAAGTCAAATGGCACCATCAATCATCTTTAAGTCGCCCCGGAGCGCCACGGCAAATAATAATAATAGCCGTCCCTTTCCCCGGACAAGCTCAGCTTTTGGGGTTAAAATTCACTCGTAAGGGGGTGAATTAGGGAGACTATTATTATTATTATTATTATATCAAGAAAAGTACTCAATGCAAAAAATAACAAAGAGAAGAAACTCCAAGAAAAACATAGATACAACAAATAGCGAATACGAAAATAATAAGATGGAATCAATTAAAGTTGATGAAGATGACTGAAAATAAAAAAAGAATATATAAGATGGGTAGAATAAAACTCAAAATAAATCCGATGCCTAAATGGGTAGAAAGAAAGTTCTGGTTTACGTTTATGACAATATGGATATGTTACTAGTGTACATGGAGTGTCGTGGAAATGCGCTTGAGTCATCTAGGTGGCCCTAGACTTACCCCGAGCCAATATCTTTATAGTAGTGACGATTGACTATAAATTTTTATATATTGAAAACATTTCTTACCTGGATATTAGATTTACAGGTGAAACAAATAAACATGAACAACAAAATAGGCCAAATGTTGTAGTAGAAACTGGTCCAATTGTCGATTTGGAAAGCCGCCACGAAGGCCCCCACCAACATAAGGAATATAGTACCGGGACCCAGGATGGTACCACCCATAAGCAGAATTTGGTACCCGATGTACGGCATCGAGATGTTATCGTTGACTTGAATGGTTTTTTTAGAGTCCATAAGAAGGTCCATGATGTTTGCTATGGTAGAAGGTACCCATCTGCGTCTTTGATTGAAGAATTCATTGAAACCTTCTGGAGCGTGGGTGTACGCGTCAGAGGCAGCTGAGTATTCTACTCGGTAGCCTCTTTGGAGGAGCAGAGTGCACAGCCAACGATCTTCTCCTTGATCGTATTGGACGTAGTGTCTTGCTTCACCCGAACTGAACAAAAATAAAATATATAAAAATATACAACGGATTCAAAAATGTAACTGTTTGAAAAAATTAAACATGTATAAGTGTGCTTACCATGTGGTATATTTCTTCATTACGTTGTCGTCCATAAGAGCCTTCCCCCTAAAGAGCGAAAAACATCCTGGACTACAGAGGACGCAGCCAATTACGTGCTCGGTGGCTTTCTGCATCCAATGCCCGATAGCATACTCGAACAGTTGATACCAGACCATCGGTCCTGACCCAACAGGATGGATACGTCCACAAGCAGCTCCTAGATTTACAAAAACAAATGAACTTCATATTTATTCGATTAATTAAGTTCGAAGGTTAATATATGTTCTTTAAATCTAAGTTTCACCGGTCTTTGTTTCTATCGATAATTTTTAAATTATGTAAAAATGTACATTTTTGTTGGATCATAGAGATAAATCGGAGATAATAAGCATAATGTAATTTTTTTTTATTTGGTGTCATCGGCATCGACTGCTAAGGTCAAATTTTAATTTCATAAACAGTAATTTGAAAGGTTTCTCTTACCAAGGTTTCTGTTTTTCTTCATTAAATCCACGAGAAGCAACACAGCTGATGGTTGAAAATCGATATCACCGTCCAATGTTAGTAAATACGTATTTTCTGCTATTGTTGCTTTTCTGTCAACAGAAATTGGCAGTTCCATGAGCCTGTGTCCAAGGAGGTAGTACATATACATAACCTATAAATTATGTTCTTGTTAAGAAAGATATACATATAAAATACATAATACATATACAAAGGTACGAAGACTGTAAAAACGGTAAAAAAAACTATATAAAAAAAGATAAACGATAAAAACGATAGAAACGATAAAAACGATAAAAACGATAAAAACGATAAAAACGATAAAAACGATAAAAACGATAAAAACGATAAAAACGATAAAAACGATAAAAACGATAAAAACGATAAAAACGATAAAAACGATAAAAACGATAAAAACGATAAAAACGATAAAAACGTTAAAAACTGATAAAAATGATAGAAACAATAAAAAACGATAAAAACGATAAAAACGATAAAAACGATAAAAACGATAAAAACGATAAAAACGATAAAAACGATAAAAACGATAAAAACGATAAAAATGATAAAAACGATAAAAACGATAAAAATGATAAAAACGATAAAAACGATAAAAACGATAAAAACGATAAAAACGATAAAAAAACGATAAAAACGATAAAAACGACAAAAACCCATAAAAAAAAAGATAAAAACGATAAAGAAACATAAAAAAGCATAAAAAACGATAAAAAGGATAAAAGACTATAAAAAACGATAAAAAATGATAACACACGATATCAAACGATAAAAAAACAATAATAAATGATAAGAAACTATAAAAAAGATAAAGAACGATAAAAATAAAAAAAAAATAATAGAAAAAAGCAGCAAAGTGAAAAGTAGAAAATAAATTAAAAATGAAGAAACAAAACAATTTAAAAAACATATTATTTTCTGTATGGAGTAGAAATGTAGAAACGACTCGAAAATAAGAAAAACAAATAAGTTATGGACGTTTATAAACAATGTATTAAAAAAGAAAAAAAAATTGAACAAAAATAGAAAAAAAACAGAAGTATTATAAAAACGAAAAGACAGAAAATAAGAAACGAAAATAAAAAAAAATAAAAAAGAAATAAAAAATATATCTTCTTCTCATTTTAAAGAACCGCTTTATGAGTTCCAAAATTAATATTCGGACAACTGCGTAAAACTTATTAGAGTGATAAAGGTGTTCCATGAATTACTACTTTACCTGCGACCATCTTTTCCTGTGCCTGATCTTCATCTTATCCTTCAAATGAGCTATCATTTTGGTCTTGCCTGGCAATTGCCAAATCAGTCTGCCCCCGTATGGGGTGGGTATTTTCTTGGGAGGTCTAATACGAATATGAGTCTGATGGACATCGGAAGCAGCTTCATCTATGGTAGCTACGAGTAATTTTACGAATCTGTTCACTTGAGTTTCGTCATCGCTATGGTCGGAGAGTTCGAACGCGTCATCGAAGAAAATATGAGCTGAGAACAAAAATAAAATCATTAATATTCTCGAATAAAGGTGTGATTCGGTGGTTTTAAATGCATATCCTTATTTATTAGATGCATTTAGATATCTTAATAATAAGATTTTAATATCGGTCCTGTTGAAAACAACCAGATTAACTACTGCAAAATAAAGCAAGGCAATTCAATAAATAACTAAATACCCAATACGGTAGGTAATATTATGCTTTGCTTCTTTTAATACTATAATCTACCTATCATCCAATGTTAACCTTAATAAATCTTGACAGAAGCTGATTAAAATAATTTAACTGCTATTTTGCATATTTTTATTTGAAACCGGCTTATAATAATATATTTCTTTTATTTCCCATACTCGGTAGGTATAAACTTCTGTTTTATTTTGTAAGATCAAGGTATTTTTAATTATTTTAAATATAAATTAAACTTTTCAGCAAAGGGATTATGATACGCTAAATTTATTTCATACGAAAAAACAATCGCCGCTAGAAATTACACCGCAGTCCAAGGAGCTCCAAAAACACAGTGAAGACCAGGACTTCCACTGATGCCAAGGAAACTTACGAAAAAAATTACACAACCAAAGATAAGGATTATCTTAAAAGCAAAAGCACATTATCAATAATTAAAATACGACAAAAACTGTAAATTGGTCTTCATTGATCTCACCCAAAGGGCAGCTCTAAAAAAGATCCAAATTGCCTAACTATGGCTTCCAAGTACTTAGTAATTCAATTATTGTAAATCCCTGAAAAATAAATTGATTCCTAAACTAGAGACTTAGTTAAATCAATCTAAAATTACCCTATAAAAAAATAAATGCATTATACTCACTTTCGAACTCATAATAATCAGGATCGACAACTCTCAAATATTTCTGAGCCACCCTTCTAGCAGACTGATCTTCGTCAAGCCTCAAAATCGACTTTAAAAATTCTATCATCTCGTCTTTCGTTTCGTGCCACATAGTAGCGCATGCGTAAATCCTAGTGATGTTGTCGGTATTTTTTATGATTTTCGGTGAGGATCCGTCTGTGTGATTCGAAATCGTTTCGTAGTATTCATCAGCTTTTTCCTTCTGAATTTCGTCCAATTCTTCTGGTTTCACATCGGATTCGTCGTCTCGTTTTCTGTTGAGTCCTAAACTTTGGTCCACTAGCAAACCTTTAAGGAAGAAAACATACATTTAATGTTTACCAAAAGATACGGCAGTTTTAAATTTTCTTACCGTCGTACATTGGCACTACTTGTAATTTTTCAGTTCTCGCAAGACGTTCACACTTTGGTGTCCAAATATGAATGGTGATCCACGTTTGAGACAGCAGCCACAGCAGCCAGATCCAAGCGTGTTGATGTGAAATGAAATCATTTAGAAAAACTGCTGGTGGAGACTCAAAAAATAAATAATCTGGGACGGTTTCATGAAAGAAGCAAGGATCTCCGTTACGTAGACCACAAGCTGTTATCAATAGAGATATTGACACAGGTATGGTAAGATTAACCGGGAAAGCATAGGAGAAGCCTTGTATCATGATTTTGCACGCGAATTTTCCAAAGATGTAAGCTAAATAAGAAGCGCTGACGTTGATCATTAGAACGTAGATGGGAGTCCAGTCGTTGGATTGTATGACAGTATCGTCTCCTGTTGGAATTATTTCCGAGATATCTGGAAGTGATGTTCCTCCCAAGTATGGTTTAATCTGTAACAATTTAAAAAAATGGAATGTATTGGAAATATAACATCTACAGACATTGACTGTCACGTACCTCCAATATAGTTATTGGATGAGCGGCCCATCCTTCTGAAAACTCCGTAAAAAAGAAACCAACTTCTCCTTCCCTTGCCAATATCACGAACAAAATAGTAATGAAAAAGCAAATGATCTTCCACATGGACAGGAACATGTAAGTGAAGTACCGCGTCTGGTCGAACTGATCCCTAATCTTTCCGAGTTTCTTGATAAAAGGCAGCGGTGAGTGTTTGGAAATGTAGTTCTCCCACCATCCCAACGATACAAGAAAAATGGAAACCGGGATGATCCAAAGGTCTGGTCGGCCTTCCATGATAGGCCACACTATGAATCCGGTGGCCTGGGCTGAAATTGCGATGAGATCAATGATGACTTTGATGAAACGCTGGGATTCTTTGTTATTTCTAGACAGTAAACCTGGAAAATAAAAAGTAATACAACTTAAATATATGTATGTAATAAATGTATGTAACTTTGATAATCGTTCAAATTTCACGTAGGCATAATGTGTTAATTTGAGTGAGAGAATAACATATCACTACCTTTATTCCAATACCACTTATTATATTTTTTGACGAAATGACTGGTTTTGAACTTATTGTGGACGTTCTATTGAATGATTCTAATACCAAAGGTATTAGAAAAAAATATTTGTCAAATTATTTATTTTAATAGCATACGGATCAGATTCTGTCACTAAGATGTTCTAATAGCACGTGGATTTTTGTCTCTCTCTTAGAGTCTAAATGTTACATTTACTCATACGTGGTATTAAAATGAAGGTAGCGACATTTTTAATTAGTTGTATTATTATACAAGGTCCTAAACTGACCCTTGAGGGATACTCATAGTACAGTTTATAAATATCCAGTAGTGCAAACAAACCAAAAAAAAAGTTTTAAAAATCTGCCCCCGGGGGAATGTAACCCCTAACCTTTGGTATATCGTACAGATGTCTAGAAACGAAGGGAGTCCAGTAATTTAATTTGCAAAACGTAGTACATATTCAAGTGGTAGATATTTTATTTAAACTTCATCCTTCAATGCTTATTTGTAGTTAAAAATAAAATTTTAATACATCTGATGGGCCTAATAAAAGTTTTCGTTTAGATTTAATCATGTTTCCATGGTTTTTACGGTAATAAACCTTTTATTTTGACAGATAAGTCAGACTTTATTTATTCATAATCTTATTGAATGTATTTTAATTGATTCGGAATTTTGTATTAGTATATATTATAATTTTACAGTTATATAAGCATGGCGAGTTCATTATAAAATATTGCAAGTACGAGTAAACGACCTAGTGGACATAAAGCATTATCTATAGAAGAAAAAACTATCGTACTTAATGTAGTTAATAATCTTCTAAAAGACTTTGTTTCACTTTCTGTGGATGAAATAGCCACTAAATGTGAGACCTATACCCTATACTAAAGCATCTAAGCGGACAGTGACGTCTCTAGTCTGAAAAATCCTCCAGGAAGAAACAAGACTTTTATTGAAATTTGGGTAATAAGGCAAATAGTATATTATTTTTTCTTTCGAAATGAAATTCCTCTGTAAAAAATATTACAGATAACCTGACAAAAACACCTTTTTAACAGAGAAAGACGAAATCATTGCGTGGTGACATGATTATTTAAGGAAAATAGCGGACGCAAGGAATCAGCATAAACAGGTGCTATACTTAGATCAAACATGGGTTAATGCTGGACATACAGTAACAAAAATTTGGCAAGATACTACCATCAAAACTAAAAAATAAGCCTTTATAAAAGGGGTTTCTTGTGGATTAAACAATCTAACAGGAAAAGGAAATCGTTTAATAATAACCCACATTGGAAGCACTGATGGATTTTTGCCAGATGGTTTATTAATGTTCGAGTCAAAGAAAACAGAAAACTACCATAAAGAAATGGATGGACCTATGTTTGAAAATTGGTTTCAGAACAGTATAAAAAAAATCCAGCCAACTCCGTTATTGTTTTGAATAATACATCCTATCACAGTCGATTAGCCTCATTCTAAAAATATTATCATTCCTCCTAAATCCTTAAAGGCAGAATTACTCATAATAGCAAGGCAACATAAAAACAAATTCAAAAAATATATTATAGACGAGATGGCCCGAGAAAAAGAATTTGAGATTTTCAGATTGTCTCCTTACCACGCAGAATTCAATCCAATTGAACTGGGTAGCTATTCTTGAATTCGAGGTAATAGAAAACCGGTTTTTCCTCTTTATCTGCAATGTACACAATTTGTATTTTTGTCTCATTCTTCCCTCAAAATTTTTACTCCCTGAGATTCAAGAACAGATACCCTGATCTGGTTAGAATTAAAAGGTTATGTTTCTGGAAACAATAGTTACAACATTTAAATTACCTGATGTGCGGAATTTGTTTTTGAAGGCAGTTTCAGATGTAAATGGAGAACATTGGAGAAAATGCATTGATCATGTTAAAAAGGTGGAAAATTCATTTTGGAAAGTGGATATAGCAATGGAAAACTTAATAAACCCTATAATAATAAAAAACCTCAAAAAGACAATAATATTGATACCAGTAGTTATAGTGAAGACAGTGACTTTTGAAGACAGTTCTTGAATTTTTTATTTTTTTTTAATATTTTGTGTTTACTTTTAATGCGAAGAGATTAAAAAAAGTTTATTCTAATTAACAACATATAATAAGCCAGTTCATAGAGCACTAAGAGAGTTTCAATTTTAGATATAAATAAGTTTTAAATAGGGTCAGTATGTAGATGACGCTGCGCTTAATATTTTTTTTTTTTTTCGATGAGAGGATCTTTCTTATATAGCGCATCTCGTAAAATATGCATTTTAAAGCAGATTTTGTTCAATAAACTAATTCAATAAATCTAGCCATTTCTGATATACAGAATGGGTCACTCAAAACAGTTTCACTCTATTTTTCGGCATTAATCATTGGATTTTAAGAAAATGCTTAAACATGTCGATTTTTATTCCAAATTGAACACATTTTTACAATACAGACATCTGTCATGTTTCAACCCCCTCCCTTCCACTTCTCCAATCCTTTAATTTTAAATAAGGAATGTACCATGTACGACACATCATTGAAAAGGTAATTTTATGGGAAAGTCAGAAATATGACTGTTTATTGCGTTATTTTTAATTTTAGCGCCCTCTATCGGGATAAAAAACCTGTAACGTATTATAAAGTGTGACACTTCATTGGAAAGCTAATTTAATTACTAATTTAATGCACTACATAACATTATTATAAATATTTCCATATTGCACTTGCAACAAAATAAAGTTAACCGTAATGTTTAAAATAATGCATGACTAATTTCCAAAATATTGCAAGTGTCATATGGAGGATATTTATATTAATGTTATATGGTGCATTGAATTAGTAATTAAATTTGATTTCAAATAAGGCATCACATTTAGAGTTTTTATCCCTATAGAGGGCGGTATAATTAAAAGTATCGCAATAAAAAGTCATATTTTTGAATTTCCCATAAAATTATCTTTTTAATGATGTACTCTACATGGTAGTGTCACACTTTATAATACGTAATAGTTTTTTATCCCGCTAGAGGGCGCAAAAATTTAAGTAACGCAATGTACAGACATATATCTGAATCCCCCATTAAATTACCATTTCAATGATGTATCATACATGGTACATTACCTATTTAAAATTAAGGTGTTGAAAAAGTGCAAGGAAGGGGGTTGACACATGACAGATGTCTGTATCGTAAAAATGTGTTCAATTTAAAATAAAAATCGACCTGTTTTACCATTTTCTTAAAATCCTATGATTAATGCTGAAAAACAGGATGAGACTGTTTTAAGTAACCGTCTCTGTATATCAAAAATGGCTAGATTTATCGTTAGTTCATAGAACAAAATCTGCTTAAAAATGCATTTTTTACAAGATGCGATACACATAAAAGATCCTCCCATCGAAAAAAAATTATTGAGCGCAGCGCCATCTATAGTTAAGAACTAAATTTTTTTACTACAGTAATATTTTTTGTTAGTTATTGGATAAATAGTGGAGTTCTTATAAGGGTACAATTTATTTAGCATGTTTGACGGAGTCAAATGCCCTGTTAAGGTCACCATAGATCCATTCACTCGTCACAATATATTCTACTAATAAAAAAAAAATACATAAATAACTGCAATGTTTTGATTTGTTTAGTCAAAATCCATGATGTTTAATCTTAATCTTACAAGAATATCAACATTTTACAATTAATTAGACGGGCCTTTTTAAAACAAGACGTGACCGTGAAGCCTAATGACTCGAAGAAGAACACAATCTATTACTGTATGTTATACCATTATGTCAATCATTTTTTAGCAAATCATCAAGGTCTTTAGATTTGACTATATAGTTTACATGGTTTTTCGTCACACCTTATCCTGGAAGTGAATTTATAATTTGTAAAAAATTGTATAGCTAAAATTATCTATCAAATAAAATCAATGTTTTTATTAACTCTGGAAATAGCACAAATATTGTGCTCTTAAGGACACAGCAACTAAATAGCGAAGGACAATATGGCACAGAAGTAAATACCGCAAAGAAAAAATAGCGACTGGAAAAATATACATTCAAAAGTTTCGTACTGTTTTGATCAATAATGGCTGGAGAAGCTATATTATCTCTACAGAGAAATCAATCGTTAGAAAAAAATCGTCGATGGTGATTCACTTTTTTATAACTATGTGGAAGCTCATAGTTATGAGCAATTGAAAAGGTACTTGAAGTGTCATGGACATTTGAAAAATGGGAAAAAAGTGTGCTGATTGAGAGGTTAGTTATCAATACTTGTTTACTGTGTAAAAAAATAATGAAAACAAATAATAATTATAACTCTATTTTAATTTAATATACCAACCAACTATTAGTAATTGCAAAAAACACTTTAATTCACAAGAAAGTTAATCACGAGTATAATTAATAAAATAAATTATTTAATACTTTGAGGATCCACATGACAGTTTTAACAATATTATTGTGTATACCGAAGTAAGTAGTATTTAATATTAAACAAATATTGTGTAATACCAGATAAGGATTTTCTTCTGTTGGACCACTTTCTCCATGAAAATATAGTGAATAAATAGTAACATCATCAATTGATCGAAAACCTTTGTCACTTCGACCACACTTTTGCACTCATTTTGAACATGTTTTAATATGTATTTTGCCTGATGATTTGATTATTTTTTTACGATATTGCAAGCAAGGCTTTGAAAAATTTATAAAAAATAATATGTATTACCTTTGAATGATTTATACTATATGTGTCACTTTAACATATCCATAACAACACCGTTTCGTTGTTCCTTTCCGTACAGATAACATTATTATAAATGATTACAAAAAATTATTTTTTAATTAAGAGACTACCTACTTTATTTTTTTCTTTCTTTTTTAAATGAATATACTTAAATTAATATTTATCAATTATAATTTTTTTCTCGTGGACATTTTAACACGCTTGTTTATAAAAAACCGTACAAAAAAGTTGGCTGATACTGACGCATGCGCACAAAAAAAATTGTGATGAAAACGCCTATAGAGTTAGCTGGAGAGTATGTAGAAAACTAGTATATGTTGTTTAATAAAGGTTTTGACTCGATAAAGATTACGAACAACATTTTTAACTGACTTCAAAAAAGAAGGAGGTTCTCATTTCGTCGCGATATCTTTTTTTTTATGTTTAGCGATAATTCTTCAACACGGTGTCCGATTTCAATGATTCTTTTTTGTCAGGGGTGGTCCCATATATATTTGGTCAAAATCTAATAATTGGGTCCATGAGAAAATACTCAAACTCTTCATTTTTTATGTATGTTTAGCGATAATGCTTTACCCCCTTGTCCGATTTATATGATTCTTTTTTTGTTAGTAAGGGGGTACCTCAGGAGTGGTCCCATATAAATTTGGTTAAGATGTGGTGATGGCATCTGAACGTTTTTGAAGTCGGTTTTTTTTAATTTTTAATTTCTAATACTTGTAGATACTAACGATTTACTGATGTATGAGCGTTGAGAGCCAGTGTCAACAATTGCCCGTACATATCTACATATTACTCCGTTAGTGGCCTTAACAACTAGAGTTTGCAAAAAAGTTCCATCAAAAGTATTATTTGAGAGGGTATCAACTGTAAGGCTGTCAACTTGATCAACTGAATTTGACCCTACGTTTGTATTCACCAAATTCTTGGTGCATACAATCGTAGCATGTCTTTCTTTACAAGTCGAACAAAACACTTTAACATGACACTTTTTGGCAATATGTCCAAATTTCAAACACTTATGGCAACGACCTTTATCAGTTAAAAATTTTATTTTTTGATTATATGACCAGGTTTTCAGCTCATTACAATCTTCAGCAATATGATTTTTATACAAAAAATACAATATAAATCCTTTTTTTGATTAAGAAGACCTGATGCAGTAGGAATATTGAATCTGTTTCCCTGATTAGAAAATGAAGGTTTCTTTTTAATATAATCAAAACCAGAAACTGCCAAGGAAATACGCTCTTCATTTTCTACCTCCTTTTTTAGAAAAATCATTAAAACATCTAAACGTGACTTCGAACTAGATTCTATATCATAATTATTACTGCGTTACCATGCTCTCAAGACTTCTTCTGGTAAACAGGATTCTACCATAAGATAGAGCATAACTGCGTATTTATCGGATGTTACACCTAGAGTTTCTAAAGACCGTAATTGAGATTCGATACTATCATACAATTTTGTTAAGCTACTTTTGGTATTCAAATTATACGGATTAAATTTAAATCTTTTATTTATTTTGTTTTAATGAAAATTTCGTTAGACTTACCTAAAACAGCTGGTGCAAAGCAGAGGCAGTTAGTCAACATGGCGCCTTTAACTACATCTATATCAGGCAGTACGTGGAACACTAATATCGCCAAGCCTATCGTTTGGGCGGTCTCCATTAGAAAAAATATTAGAAAATGGGCGAAATAAGGCTTTTTCGACGACTTGAAATAACACATTCTGGTGGATCGAAATAACACACCTAATTGTGGTATGCAAAAGACGAAGAAGAGACACCACATCCATACCACTCGTTCGGCTGTTGGTAATTTCACTACAAATTGTTTTTCTCTACCTGCAAACAACAGGAAAGAAAATGGTTAACATTTCACTCAGATTACTTTATATCAATTTAGATTCTATTAAAATATATCATCCTATATTTCGAGTTGATGAAATAAGTTCAATTGACAGAATTTGGAAAACAATAGTTCGAACTATACAAAATTCGAAAATATAAAAGTTCGAATGACAAAACTTCGAAAATATAAAGTTCGAATGACAAACCTTCGAAACTAAAAGAGTTTAAAATTAGAGCAACACGCAATGGTTCCAAGTCGCACAGATTAGGTAAAGCTGTGAAGTTTTTTATTTTTCTTATTTTATATATAGCGTTTCTGCGCAGCAACCCGTGATTTTTTCAGATCTCACAGGTTAGTTAAGTTGGTTAAGTATTTTTGTTATTTACTTGAAAAAAAAAACACTAATTTATTAATTTCATAATAATAATACTTTCGATCTTACACCACTTCAATCATATATCATTTCGATCATTAGTACTTTCAAATGTGTGATTTGGATCATTTGTAATTTCGATCATTTGTTATGTCAATCATATGCGATTTCGATCGTTTATTCCAATTTCGATCTTCTTTGGTTTCAATATTTTTTCACTTTTGATCTTTTGTCAATCAAACTTATGGTTTTAGAACTTTTTGAAAATTCAAACTTTTGTTTTTCGAACTCCTATATTTCATTTATAAAAGTAATAGTTCTTTGAAAATCAATAGCGAAGAGACCAAAGAGATGGTATGAACACACTTGAAGTCTTCGCTGGAAGCAGTTTTTGCCATTCCTCCTTTGCTATTTACTTAATTTATTTCTACTAATAAATCAGTTTAACACGTTAAGCGCCACCTCTAATATGCTACCTAACTATTGCAAAAAGTTTTTTTTTTTTTAATTAATTAAACATCGGGACAAATATTTGATAAAACTACCCTTAAACTAAAAATATCAGTTTATTAATTTTTTATTTACAAAAACTGAAGCGACCGCCGTGGCCTGGTGGGAACTTATTAGCGTACATAATATCGGTCATGCCACCACGTCACATCTGAACAGTTTTACATATTATGAAAATCAATGACATTATTGTCTAAAATGTTTTACAGCAAGTCACAAATATTAAAACATTTTTGCTACTTATTTTGATTTACTTACGACTTATGCCATTTACGTTCATAAAAATGTTTTATTAGTTTGGTAAGAAAATCCTTAATTTCAGATGGTTTTATTTAATTATGTTCTCTAAAGTTTGAGTTTCTCTAATATAATTCAATAAAACAAAAAAAAAACCGTTAAATTGTCCCTGTATTCTACCGATATTACTATTAAAGTTATGTATGCCTGAGTAATGGAAAACTTCCGCACCCGCCATGGCGATCAGATGCAGGTAGGAAAGTACATATATTGACGGGAATTCGGCCAGGAGAACTTCATTTCTTAATGTAAACAGTCGGCCACTGCCGACTGCCGTGGCTTTGTAGAAAATACCAGTGACCGCCGTGGCGCTTAACGTGTTAAATTTTTGAAAAACTATCAGTTATTAGTTATTGATTCAAAAACAAAGTAATTAAAATTAACATTACTACACTATTGTTAAAGAGTTGCTGTCAAACAATTACTTACCTAAATCTTTATTACAATATTGGATTACTTTATCTACCCTAAGTTGCGAAGTCATAAATAAAAGAGTTCCTTTGGCTATCACTCCGGATCCCAGGACTATGAGAAAGGTGATCAAATACGCAAAGACTTTCAGTATCTTGACGGATATCTCTAGACATTTTTGGTTCGCCATGGAACCCGAGATCTCCTTGGTAGGAGGGTCCCTGAAGACATCCCATCCTTTCGTTTCTTGTACTGTCCTCGTGCTGAAACAATAAATACATTCAAATTAAAATAATGGTCGATAGTTCATATTATACTTTTAAATCAATTCGAATTTGAATAATTTGATAAATGTGTGTCAGTAGAATAAATACATTTTGAATGTATTGTATTTAGAAGTAATAAAATTAATTCCATGTTAATGAAGAACGATTTGTAGTGGGTGCATTCAGAGTCTGAAAAATGTCTAATAGTTTACAGAAGGTGTTTTTTTCTTATACTCTTGGTAGATATCTTAGACGATAGTTCCATTCATTGCAATATCTCTAGCTCTGATTATTTTTTTCTTTGTCACGCGTTATAACTAATTGCAATAACAACTGCTTAACTAATACTGTTACTTACTACGTTACGTTTATATAACACACTAACACGATTTCCACTACATTAAATTCAACTAGAGTGAACAAAAAAATGTTTCAGTTAGATCTGATAGACATGCATTCCTAACTTCCTATTATGTGCCTAATTGGCTAATGTGTGCTCAAAAAATTGTTTATTATAAAGAAAGCGATTACATTAATCATTCGTTATTCACTGATTAACAATAAATATTTACGCGGTCTAAAAATTTCCGGAAAAAGAAGAAAAATGCTTACGTAAGTCCATACAGTGCATGCCACCACACATTACCCCACCTCATATTAAATCTTTTACAACAGAATGTTTCATCGATTTTTATTTCTGACAAGGTACACGTTTGTTTTTAATAATTTCAACCCTTGAGCAGGGTAGTTACTGTCTTTTAATTTTAAGGGTTCTCAAGGGATACCTCATTTTTAATTATATATTATATATAAAGCAATTTAAATTAATTAACCCATTAATTGTTAAAAGATTGTTTCACTTATAATCAAATTAAGTCTCACAAGCATAGTTTCTTACAGGTCTGATGATGGTTACTTACCGAAACTAGTCGCTTTCCCCTGTTTTCAATAACAATAAATAATTTTTGTGCTCAAGACTTCATTAGTAATTCAAATAAAAAATAAGCTTTGAAAAGGAATATGTTGTACTATAAGACTATTGCACAAGGGTAAACAAAGGATTGTTTTATTTTGTAACAGAAATGTATTTACGTTTTAAAATAAAAAACGATGTGTTCGAAGAATTTTTCGAAATTTTCGACGTAATAGAGTTAATAGGGGGTAACATTTATAGTGAACCAAGGGCAGCTGCACGGAAGGAGTAACGTCTTCCCCCCAATCCCCAGATTAAAATTCTTACATTAAATGAGCCTTTCATTTAAAAAAAGATTTGCTAAAAATAGGGAATAGGGTCACCAAACCCCAATATTTTCTGTTAATGTATTCTATTCTCCAAATGAAAAATTTAGAATTGAAACTTTTGTCGAAATTTTCATTGTAGCTATTATTTCTTATATCTCGTTAGTATTGGCAATTCCCTTTTATTTTTAAGTAAAAAAGGGAATTTTCTTGTTTAGGTTTTTGATTTCCTTCAGAAAAGATAAGAGTATTTAACACTGAACTATTTGCACTAAATATAGGTTAATCATAGCATTTATTTCGTTTTATCATTTGACACTTTTTGAAGCCTGTTTTCTATGTTTTAAGTGATAACTGGTCACGGTTTTGTTTCATTACTAGATTTTTCAAGTTTTATGTTTTATTTTTGGATGGCGATATATATATATATTTTTAAATACTAAATCGTGGTATAAAGTAATTGCTATAATTTCTACACTTGTGTTTTTTACAACTATAGTTCTTAAAATAATATAAGATATATACTTTACATACGACAGAAATTTAATTTCAGTAGGAAGGATACAATAGTGATAAAAAATGAGGTCGTGCACTATTAAACACAGTTAGATAGAATAAAGAGGAGATGCTATGACGATGCTTAAGAGTATGGTCCGTTATTAACCGAAATATCGGTTACCCGGTCCAAAACTAACCGCTTTGCTTGACATTCCTGAAAAATCAGTTAAATTAGGGACGCGGTTACCTGAAAATGGTGACTCAAATGTCAATGTTTTTTACGTTTGGAGAAGAAAATTTTTCAAATAAAAGTTACTTCCAATATTATTATCTATAATTTTTATTCTATACAAAATTTTCCTAAAATGGTCCGTATTCGAGAAATTGGACAAAATGTAAAAAAAAATATTTTTTATAAAAATTGTTTAAATAAAAGTTGTTTGTAATATAATTCTCTATAATTTTTATCCCATACATAATTTCTCTAAAATGGACCGTATTCGAGATATTTGAGAAAATATGTAAATTATGAATTTTGAAGAAAACTCAAAAACGGAAAAAGAAAAAAACATTAAATTTTAAACTTAAGTTTTATTTCGGCCTGACGTGAAATGATTAGATTTTGGACAAAGTCGGAACATCTGGGGTACTTTATAGGAGGCCGTTTTTATATTTTATGGAATATATCTGTTATTTATGTTTGGAGAAAAAAATTGTTCAAATAAAAGTTACTTCTAATATTATTATCTATAATTTTTGTTTTATGTCAAAATTTCCTGAAATGATCCGTATTCGAGAAATTTGACAAAATGTGCAAAATTCTGATTTTTATGAAAATTGTTGAACTAAAAGTTGTTTGCGATATCGATCTCTATAATTTTTGTTTATACATGATTTTTCTAAAATAGACCGTAATAGAAAATTTGTAAGAAAAGTGCTAAATTTAAATTTTTCAGTATTTTCATTTTCAATGAATATAGGAAAATGTTTCGAGGTAGATGTATGTGGAAAATGTATATATTTAGTTTATCCTCTAAACATTTATAGAGGTGCTGCAATAGGTTGTAGAAAATAACCAGAAAAAGCCTATAATAACTAGATAGGAAAGTCATGTGTTGGACACATCAGATTTTTTTAAATAGCTTCATTTAAATGATATTAAATCATTTTCATTCCATCAGTCTCAAAATAGAAAATTATGAACTTCAAATAAATCAAAGTACAACTAAAGTCGCCATTTTTCCGTCACTCGAAGTGCGTCCAGCTGTCATATCGCAAAATAGTGTTTATGTCGTCTCTACTTTATTCTATCTCGATAATAATAATAATAATAATAATAATAATAATAATAATAATAATAATAATAATAATAATAATAATGATAATAAACTCTATTTATTCTTTTCATTACAATACAATAATTGTTTTCACAATTTTTTATTTATAAATTATAGATGCTGAATAAATAGATATACATTTAGTCCACTGAACCAATGAGGTTGTGCATGGACACTAAAAGGAAAATATAAAACATGTGTAACGTGTGTAAAAAAATAAAGTATATAATATAAGTATGTTATCTATATATTTTTTTTTTTTGGTAGAGAGAGGAAGGATAAATCATTTCTTAATTAACTAATTTAAACTTAGTTTTTAGGTACTGTTTATTAGGTTGCTAGTTTTGAACAACTGTCCTAAAACGCATTGAATTCGTTAGATTAAAATATAATTATTATAATTAATGTATATTAATGTAATGTCAGGATTGTGTTAAAAATTCGGAAAGAGTTGCCATATATGCAAAACGCCAACTGAAAACATCCTCATATCCTACGAAAATCTCTACGAACTTTGGCACTATGACTGATGACAGTATTCTTTACAACACCATTACTGATTATTGTTTCTAAATTTAACTTATACCATATTCTAATAATAAAGGTTCACTTAGATTAATTTGATTTTTTTCCTTAAAAAACTACAAAAAATAAACTAAAATGAAGATATATAATGATTGGCATTCTATATTATACTCTTCACAGTTTAACAAATCCTCCTTAACCTCATTTTGTTATTCAGATTTTTTTTCTGAATCAATAGGCTTCACCCGTATAGAACTTGATTTTTACTAAAAATTTAATGTTGATATCGCCTACCGTTTTTAAATTTCAACCCATTTACTTAACCATGCATTTTTATTCAGATTTTTTTAAATCAATTGGTTTTGCCCTTGATTTTTGCTAAAAATTTAATGTTTTCGTTTTTGAGTTTGGATTTTTTTTTTTAATATTACACCCTTAACCCCCATTTTTATTTATATTTTTTTCAGAATCAAAAAGATTCATCCCTTATAGAGATTGATGTTTACTAAAAAAATATTGTTGATATTGCTTTTCGTTTTGCATTTATGATTTTTTTTTATTTCAACCTCCTTATCTCCCCATTTTAATCAGATTTTTTCAAAATCAATAGGCTTCGTCCCCTTTAGAACTTTTCCTGAAAATTTCAAGTTGATATAATTTTTAGTGTTTGATATATCGTCCGGACAAAAAACGTGACATCGAAATATTGTTTCAAATTTGATAAGAACAATTTTGGCACAAAAATTTATAATTTTAAACCAATGTTAAAAAATTTTGTTCCTCAATAGTAAACCTATTAAACCAACTTTAATAGACTATTGTGCGAAGAGTATAATAACGTTATAACATGGAATACATAGAAATAAATTGTTAGAAATTGGCTTTGATTTTAAACCTCACAAACTATTTTTTTCTAAAATAAAAAGACAAGTAGGTGCCATTACTATATAATTCTCGAATTAACACGTTCAATTTGAGTGTAGAACTATTTACAGTCATAGTTAGAAGGTCCTGGCTAGAAGGCCCCTTTCGAAAATTCGGCCTGAAGCCGTTCTTTTAAATAATATAACAGTAAACTAACTTTCTTATGTGGAAGTTTAAAAATGTAATAAAGATAATGAGGGTAGAGTTCCCACTCGCAAAAATTTGCAAACAAATTGCTGCATTCGACATAGTTTGTATCAGAACACCTGGTAATAAAATAATCATTGTATAATAATTTAATAACTTATATAATATCACCTACTGTGTGTAAATTAATTAGAATATAACATTGAATACTTTCTTTTTTGATAATGAAATTTATTACATTTACAAAAGAGAAAGATTTAAAACATTGTTTGGTCCATTGCATATTGGAATAAATTTTTGTAATGTTAAACATGGAGTAGGTACTTT